TGTCGGTCATTATCTGTGGAATGCGTTCCGAGAACCGAGCGAAGAGGATAATTGTTAACGTTTCTTGTCACGCTGCTCTACGAAAGAAATTTATGTCTGTGTATGAAAACGGGTCCACGAGGTGCGACGAACACCTGTGTGTAAAGAGCCGGCACGTGTTCATTGTTCAAAGTGCAATGTACATATTCATATTCCACGAAGGGCAAGTGTATGTCGGGGCCCATTGGAATACGAGTAAACACGAGGATAATCGATTCGATCATACTGTAATTTTTACTAGAACGATCGATAATATGTTAATTTTCCTGAAAGAAATCTAATCTATGAGCTCGAGTGATGTAATCGCCTCGTGTATGTACCGATGGACCCCTCGTCGTAACCTGTTTATCGCTACTTGATTTACAACGCTGATCAGATTATCACGGTTTGTTATCGGTCCCATCTACTGGCAAATACAACGAAATTCCACCCGTAGCCTAGATGGGACCGATAGTCCCGACGTGTTGTTTGCGAATCCATGTACACTCCCGTTCATAAGTATTAGGACAGTTATTAGTAGACTGGTGTACAGTGAATTTTTACGAAACATCACATTTTTTTAATTATCTGCCAGATGTGGTAATACTAATGAACGGTAGTGTATGTCCACATCGGATAATCCCATCGAGTGGATTCGCGTTGGAACGATAACAAGCTGCATCGACCACCGACCGAAATATGTTTCGTCGACTAACAGTCCTACGCGGAGGGTCCCTTGTTACGCGTGTTCTTACACGGTCGGTGGGGGTAGGAGGAAAGGTTGATGGTAGCAAGAGAGGTTAGCAGCGATGACGGCGGTGGTGGTGCGACGCAGCGCTAAAATTAAATTAGCCAACTGCCAGGAGTGATACTTCTGATTCACCTCGGGACCGAAAGGGTTTTATTTGGAGGTGGGCCAAGGGCAACGGACTCTTTTCGAGCGTCTCGACCTTGAGAAAAAAAAAAGAATGAGGAAAATCGAGTGTATCACTCTTTTCTTCGCAAGATGCGTCTTCCACCCTCTGTACGACGGTCGAGCGCTACGCGAACCGGTAAACCGTGTTAACCCTTAAGGCACGTTTCCACGTGACAGTAAAAACATAGGCCATCTTTTAGTGGATACTGGGAAGAATTTGGCAAGCATCGCAACAAATATTTTTTTTCTTCTAAATCAAAGAAACATGAAGAAAAACATCATTTACCTTAATTACGACGATGTTAAAAATGGTGTCCCTCAGCTACGGATACCTCGCGTAAACGGTTCAGAAACGACTGTTTAGTTCTATCTATGACGTACAATAATTATATAAATAGTAATCTTACAAAAACAGTTCAATTTATTACAGTGGAATAATCTGAGCTGATTACATATCGTGGTCCACTCTGCATAGTCTTTTAGGAAAATCTGAAAAAAATTCGTGTAGGATTGTCTTCAAAACATTCTGAATCAAGGTACCAATTCAACATTTTTTTAAGTGGGCTTCTGCTACTTTGTAAGAGCCTATACGTCTCAATATCAAGCCCGTTTTCATATTCAGGGTTGAAAGTGTTCCAGAGGATTTAATTAAATCGTTGGAACCGCACGATTGAATCCGCCTCTATGTTCAGTTAGCGCAAGGTTCAGGGTATGGAGCGAGGTCTACTAATTAGGTGATTAATGGAAGAATTTGTTACGATCTCGACTGGAATATGCACGTCCCCTATCGGGGAACGGACGAGCGCCGCGAAACGGTTGACGGTTACGTGAATGTCCGCGTATTTATCATTCCGTTCGTCTTTGGTTGCAGAACGTAGGGGAGAGTCGGATACCAGTACCAAGGGCGGCTCGGCCCTCGTTCTTCCCGAAATCAAGGTTGCTCCAGCCGACATCGATTCCGGGACACCGACGGTCTCTGGTGCTCTCGGAATGTTTGCAGTTCGTTGATGCCGACGACAAATCCGCCACGCCCAAAATCAAGTGTTCGACACGCGGAGTGTCCACACCGATCGGAGGTATGTATATCACCTTCGTTGTGTGACTAGGTTGTGGATTGTCATGTTTGCGTGTAGCATACCGTTGCGAATCCAGTTTCTGATCGCTAAAGTTATTCGAATAAATCTAAGTTTTATCGGTCATTTGGTAGTAAGAAAAGTGTAGGAATGGTAATACAAGTTAAATTGTAATTTAATTTTTAAGTAATTGGTGCAAAGGGAGCAATTTCTGATCACATATATCTGTATCTCACTCTAAGCTAACGAATTTTACGTATAAATTTCGAAATAGTTAATAATTGTTTAGTAATTTTTTGGAAAATAAACTAATTACGTACACGGTATCTATGTACTAAACTGATCGGGAATTGGGTTCTGATCGGGAACTGGATCAGTGGCGGTACCCGATCGTCTGAAATTCAATTGCATTATCGTCGCTGATGGTGATTTTCCGTTTCATTTGGAATCTGATAGAACGTCTTGGTAAGGGAGATAAACATCTGCAATCTAGTCATGAGCTCATAGTAGGTTGTCTTCTAATGCCTCGAGTTACATACTCACGGGATGACCACCACTATTACATACGCTGTTGACAATCATACAAGAAGTTAACAGTGATACTCTTTCTTTCATTAATAGATCCGGGACGCAAGTCGTTCACGATATCACCCGCCTGGGATATCGAGAAGGATGACGTGCAACAGTTGGTTCATTTCACGGAGGAGAAGAGCAACTTTTTCAGGTATATATCGCCCACGTATGTTCGCTTGTTCCATCTGTCGCTACCCCTCTCCCCCATTGGTTCTGTCCGTTCGGAGGTCAGTAAATGTGTGTATTTAATATTTCTCTATTAAATGGAACCGTCTCCGGAGGGCACGAATCGCCCCGAAGACCGTTTTACGATTTAACCTGACGTTCACCATATAAACGTCCGAGAACAATAAGTAATACATGACCGTTCGCGAGGGTTAGGTATCGCGGAGCCTACCTGAAGCATCCAGTCACACCGTCTATCGTTTATGGGGTGGCGACACGTTTCGACCAGATGGTGAAAAAAGAAACATCTGGCAAACAATAAAGCTTATTGTTTTCGTTTCCGTAGCTTGCTCGAGACGTCTCAAATGAATATGATCGAGGACACTGCGGAGAGCTGTCTGCTGGACACGACGTCGGGCACCTACAACGACACCGTCGGTAACCAAGCCCCGCATTATTTGATGTTGAATAAACAGAATTCGTTCGAGCACGACGAGAGCCTCGGTATACTGACTCCCGACCAGATGACCGACTTCACAGTCGCGTTGGAGTGCTCCAGGACACCATCCTGCGAGAATCTTACCGGTTCGGCCGCGTCGCGATTGGCGTTGACGCGTGCATCGGCCTCGACACCGTCGCCGGAAGAGCTACCGCTCGACCCAAAGCCCGTGGAGCCCGTCCGAGCGTCGGATCCAATCAGTTTCGTCACGTCGGTCACCAGCATAACCAGCTTGGAGGCTGGCTACCAAGGTGACGGGGAGAACTCGAGGCCAGCGAGCCGCGGAGCCGATCCACCGTCGTCTGTCGCTCCACCGCCGAATCTTCCCGGTCCGTGCAGGCAGGATCCGATGACCGATTCCGATTTCTTCACGGAGAGCGACGCGGACGCGTACGAGGAGATTGTGCGCGGCGACAGGAAGGCGCAGGTGATCGACGGTACGCTGTTCTGCGCCCCCGGCGGTCGAAGATGTCCGAGTTTCACTGGGGAGGAGATGGACTCGAGTGGAATCTATTCGGATCTCGATAAGAGACAGGACGAATTGCACGCGCCTGAGGAGGCGGTGGAGGAACGGGAGGATCGCACTCCGGATACCATTGACACCGAGGTTTCTCAGAGGAGCCAGCCGTCGCCGGTGAAACCGGAAGTTACTCACGTTATCTTGGATTTCCTGCAGGCGAGTCGATGCTCTTTATTCCGTGGATCCCTCAGTGAATCTGATGATGCGTACATTGTTATGGGTACATTAGCGGACGAAAATGTTAACCCTTTAAATACTAGGTGCGATTATAGGTAGCTAGGTCGGTAGATCATTTGTTTAGGACCAATCGGCACTCTATGGTGGCTTCCCTCTGACGAGAAGAGGGTTCGAGATGGTCCTCTGGGATCATGATGCGCTTTTTCAGAATAGTAGTATAGGTTGACCCGTGCCCAAATTGTAAAGCGTAGGTGCCAATTCTCATTAAAGTCTTACGGCCTTTTATATGCATTAGGCGCGAGCGTTGTACTGTCGGAGTTCGATGGCGCAATGGTGTTCGTCATTGGGTACTATAAAAATGTCCCGTGTTTTGTGTCAGCCAATGAAAGTTTGCATCTACGCTTTCTTGTAAAGGCGCATCAAAACCCCAGACGACCATTTCTAGTCCTCTCCTACTGACCGATGTGTGGGGACAAAACGACATTATAGTTGCTCCTAGTAATAATAATAGGAATGCTCTATCCCTGCGCTGTTTGCTGATGATTGCTTCTTTGTAAATAGGACGTGACTGGAGAACGTTTAAAGTTCACTGACTGTATCAAAGCGTTACGAAACCCCGACCAGACGTCTCGGTTGTGAGATATCTCGTTGATACATCGTGCTATGATCGACAATATTTTTAGGTTTCCCCGAATACCCTGGACACGTCCGCGGACTCCAGCGGGTCCATGAACACCACCAAAGTCACCGTGATCGAGGTGGAGCGAAATAACGATAATCTGCGCGCGAAGGGACCGGGTAAACCGGACGTTCCGTTGAAAAAATACAAAATGCCGAAGAGGAACGTGGTATCGAAGATCAAGGCGATGATCGAGTCCGGTCCCAAGGATGAAGGGGAGAAGGAGGCGCGACGATCGCAGAGATCGTTCAGGAAAGGTGGCGGCCGATGGGACGCTGTAATGAGTAAAATCGAGGCGGGCAAGACCGAGCAGAGAACGAGGCCTCCGAGGAAAGAGGTGAAGTCTAGGGTTTTGCAGAGTCTTGGCCCGCCGCCTCCAACAGAATCGAAGCAAAAAAAGGCGGGCGACGCGAACAATAATAATAACAAGGATAAGAGGTAAGCGAAATTGGGCCCGTCGACAATTCGAATGTATATCCCACTGGTGGCCAAACTTTGTCAGGATAGGAGTCATATACAGTACATCCTGGATGAGTGTTTGAAGACTCCTCGGCATTGAACATTAAATATTTCATGAACTAATGGCCATATGCGGCTGAAACAAATATTATTCGCTTCAGAATTGCAAGCTCTGTCACTGCGCGGAACCTCATTAAAAAAGTCTGTGTGTGTCTGTGTGTGTGTGTGTGTGTATCACACTGCATAATAAAGTCAGCGAACTTTCGAAAATATATTGCACATGCACGTGTATGTAATATGTATCAAGTTTATAAAAAAATACTGTACAAGGATACGGGAGCCGCAGTTTGGCCATCGTGGGTATATCAGTTGATCGCGACACGTCATTAAATGGTGCCTAAATTGCCCAGGAGGATACGTGGTCGCCAAGAGGTGAAGTCGCCGACACAAGAAACTGCCAGGAGCTCCGTTCGTAGTTCCTTGAGCGATCTCAGCACCGGGCCTAGCAAGGACGCGCCAAGTAAGTTCAATTAAAACCTTCCGTTCTCGGACGAGTCAATAATTAACATTAATATATTCGAGAATTATCGCTCGAACACGTTCCTCCGTTTTACCGTTTGCAATTTTGTTAAAGCTTCCTTATTATTCACAGGCGAACATTTTATTTTCACTTCGTTTCGGTCGTGAGAACGTTATCGCCCGTGTCGTAAAGTCCTATACTCATTGTAATCGCGGCAGCTTGTGGAGGTGATATATACGTATATGTAAGCTTTGACGCGAGATGGATGGACAAGGAAGGCTGTAAAGCAGTATGGTAGTGACGGGAGAAGACCTTGCGGAGAACGGTGGAAGGCTTGAATAAACATGACGCCAGCCGATTTCGCGATATCGAGTTATGCCTCCGACCGCATGCCATGCGTTTCTTCGGACGGGAAAAAAAGTCTGGACCACAAAGGTCGACGTAGCGTGTGCATAGCTATATACGTTTCGCGAATTACGAAAACCATTCACGTTATTTTTAATGTGCTTCAAAGACTTAATGATTTTAGGTGCGTTCTCACGTGACAGGAACAGTCGTGGCTGTTGTTAACGACAACCAGTTTTCTTGACGATAAAAGTCGTAATATATAACTAACCCATGACCGTAAAAGTTACGATTTAATGTCACGTGAAAATGTACCTTGAGGAGACTTTTTTGTTTAGTGAAGATATCGATTAGGGATGTTGGTTCAAAAAAATATTCATTCTTCGTACGGGTAGAGAACCTTACCTTTGAACACCTAGTGTTAGTCTATTCTTTAAATTCCAACGGTCATCGGTATTCATCAAACAATACACACAGGACATTCTCAGTCTTTTGAAATGAGGGATAAACATCATTCCACTACAATGTCTTTGGGTTGTAAACCAGCCCTATAATCCCTAATTGCCCATCGTATTTACAACCCTCCTCAGGGACTCGTATCTTCACGAAAGCTAGTAACGACATGCAAAAATTCGATTCAAAACTGTTCGACGACACTTGCTCTACCATTCACATTTCACGATCATCCAGCAACACCGTTCATTACGAATTACCACGTTATCAGGGTCACGAAGACTAAACCATATCCTGTCCATCAATCGAATGCCAGAATATTCAAAGACACAGTCAATTCCAAGACACAGTTTCTCCACAAGGGTGAAAACAAGGGAGTGGGTGGGTGGGTCGATCAATTTATTCGGTCGTTCAAGTATACGCACGCGTCTTCGGCAAACGTTATACACGATCGCCTTGGCCGAAGGCTCCTCGCGCGTAGGTGTATATACCATCCGCAGAGAGACGGCGGAGTGGGGGAACGATGGTAACGTGGGCGTAGGAGGGTGTTTTTCTATCGACCCGATTAGGGGCGCGCGAAATTTATTTCGCTGGAAAGTACATATACAGCGACGGCGTCGTGGCCCTCTCTTCCGGCGCCATTGGACATTGTCTCGCATCCCATTGGATTGAGCCAGCTCCCCGAGCAGCCGCCGCAGGCAGCATCCAGTCGGCAGTCCTCGGCGGACCTCGTGCTCGCTCGGACGCTGTTCATGCCACGCGTGTTGCATTTCCGGTCCGTCTCTGTTCCTCCTTCCTTTTACATGCCATTTCCGCTCCTCTCTCTCTCTTTGATTCTCCACGGATCTCTCCTCTACCCCATTCGACTGACCGATTTCGTCGAGGGAGGAGAGTGTATGCACCGTGCAGCGCACGCTCGCGAACAGGAGAATAAGGACAGCGTGTAACGAACGGGGGAGAAGAACAGCCGGTGCCTCCTCTCGTCGTCAGTGGATGCCGCAAGGTGACGGTGCAAAGTGCATCCGGGGGGGAATACTGTGCTGCTCCGTAACGACCTCAATCGCACACATCTGAAATACACACAGATCTTTTTCTTCGTTAAGTGTCTACTGGATATGATTCTTATATCGAATATTTGGAACGTGTTATAACACCGGCCTGTATAACCGTCCGTATCCCCGCGTGTGTGAGCACGACGTGTGACCTGATTACCGTTCCCTCGACGTCAGTGCATATGTGTGTGTGTGTGTGTCACCCCGTAGGAGACTGTCTTATTCCCAGTGTGGCGAAAAGGGGGAACGGATCGAAGGATAGGACCTCGCCTCTCCGTGATCTTATTTTTAACGACGGTGTGTGGATCGTAAAGTTTCGATCTCTCTCCCCACGGGATACAATGTTAACACGTTTGTCCTCGTCGATCGCCGAAGGAACCTGTACCAGCTGAACAGAGACAGCCACCGAAGACCGGATAGCCCGCAGCCCGCAGCCTGGCTCTTTCTCTCTCTATCTCAGGCTTCTCCGATGAAAGTTCCCCGGCGAATACCGTTACCGCGAAGCTGCCTTTCGGCCGGTGGTTCGCGTAGAGCCGCGGATCCGGCCGGCAGGGAACACCACGGAAGAGGGATCTTTGTCGACGGGGGGCAGCATAACCTTCTCTCTTTGTGCATCACGTTGTTAGCCTCACCACTGTGATATGGACGAAGCTTCGTGTACGGGTCAACGGCACTAGTGGTTTATTTCCGGAATTGCCTTTCTTCAACGGGGTATCTTACGTGTGTTTGTGTGCGTCTGTGTGGGCACGTCCTTCGGCCGACCAACACGGCCGGTGGTTCTCTCTACGGTGTGCGTGTCCCCACCCATTTTAGAGACAGGTGCACCCGGCGACCACGTGCGTCTCCCCAAGGCCGACAACCAACCATTGCCGGGTATACAGAGAGACACGCACCCGGACTCCCTTACGCAATCCCTCGACATCGGAATCAGATGTTGAACCCACATGGCTGAGGACGTTGGTCGATCGTACCGCGGTGAACGATACAGCATTCCCGGTTGCAACCTGGACGGAATCGGGTCGCGTGAACCACCGCCTAGCGATCTATCGATCTTACCTTTCGTACCTGTGTATAATCTCGCGTTCAATTCCCCACGAAGGACATGAAAGTTCCGTGAATTGGTACGCTCTGTTGGACAATAGTGCGATCTGTGCGTGTGAACCGATTCGACGGAAGTTGTCGTCGATACAGGAAGAAGGAAAGAAATACATCGAGAATGTTGGAACGTTGCGAATTACTCCGTGGTGCCACGATTCAGAAAAGACCACCGGTGGAGAGTTTTGTGATGCTCGTCGAGGATACCATGGGTTGAAGAGGGTACAGCGTGGTTTTCACCGGCCGAAGGTGTCGCCGCGGGAATTATGATTTTCATCGAGGGACAAATGCCCTCCCTTTATTTTGGACGGTGAAAGCGGAGGGACTCCTTTGAGGAAAAATGGGGCAGCAGGGATCGAAGGGTAGGCCGCCGGCTCTACGGACGGATTTCGTCAGAGACTCAGCGAAAATGCGGCTGGGCAGTTTCAAACGAGGTTAGAGCGGCGATTTTCAACGTGGGGCAATTTAAATATACTTTGGGGGGTAGTTAGCAAATCACTGACATTCCTCACCTCATCAGCGACAGTTATAACCGTATAGCTAATAATGTTAAGCCTTTTAGTACCTTAGAACTCATATGGCTTTCTGGATTTTCCTGAAAATATACCTTGAGCTGATATATCGGCTTTCCAATATTAATATTATTCGAATAAAATAAGTTCATTTAGTGGTACATACGTTTACTGGATAGGAATAATAAAATGAAAAAAAACCGTGAAAATATCTTCATCTTTAAGAGAAATGTATTAATTTTAACGGATACGTAAAAACTCATATGTTTCAAGGTATTTTTGGACGGTATCCGGAGAACATACAAGGTACTATAAGAGTTAAACTTCTTCAGGACTTCGTATACAATTATGCTAGGGTTTCATCGAGATTTTTAATTCGAAACACCGAGGTAGAGTGATTGTGATTTGAAACACTGCTGGTGGATTCGAGATAGACTAGGAACGTCAGGAACAAGATTAAGGAACGAGGCAATAGTGGCCAGTAAGCCTATCCTCGTTGATCCTTTAATCTTTGTTCGCAAAAGAGGATAGAAAGAACGGAGATGGTGATCCGCCATCCGTCCTCTTTTTCTTCGTGGTTCATTTAACGCTAGAAAGTTCCCGGGGACGCGAATGTATAGCCAGGTCTGGTTCCTCTGGCCCCGTTGCATAGGCATTCGAAAAGGTAGATGGGTCGAACGACGACGGTTTCTCTTTAAAGCGAGGCCTGAAACGTTACGGGGAAGGGATCAAAGGTATATACCCTACTTACACAGCTCGTCACGGGATTTCTCTTTTACGGCGTCCATCGATCATTATTGGCCGGGCCTAGTCCTACGGGTAGAGTGGCTCGACTTCGTTAGATTCTCGTGTGCCCGAGTTAAATGCGAGCAATTAGACGACGACCGGTCTTTCTTGGACACGGTTGACTCGGAAAACCGGAAATTCGATTAAGGAATGGAGCAAATGGTGGATCGCGAGAATCTTCGAAAATTCTCTGTAGTTTCATCTTTGGTCATATACGTTTATAAATATGATCGCAATGGTAACGGTGTTAAGGAATGATTCAACAATTAACACTGTTAGAACCGTTCGTTTAGCAAGACGAAGGCTGTGTACGAGCCAACACTTGTCACGTTGTCTGTGTCTCTGACATTCGCGAACCATACGAACGTTAATCCAGTTTATTCCATTTAGAAATAAAATGGTGATTTGGAAAAAAGAATGGTGTTTCGTTCTCGAAGGGTTAAACAGTCAATGAGATCAAATAATTGTTCGCCAAATGAGTCTACTCATTCAAAACCAAATATTATTTTACCATAAAAATTTGAGTTTCCACGTTTATAATCAATGAAAAATTGCGAAATACATTTTTTTTTATTTATTATTTGAAACACTTCGCCCAAGTAATGAATTCGCTCATTTCTTGTTCGATAACATCTCTATGCACATCACCGGGTACGAGGGGACTAGAGGGGCCGTTATACGGCGCGTCTCGACTTGGTGGGCAACGGCTTAAGGCGCAGCCTGGTGTACATAATAAACGTTTTCTTTTCCCCGTTGGTTATAATCGACGAGCAGCAGCAGCCACACACACCGGTGGTGCACACACTTAGCTGTTGCGAAGAAATATCGACGACGCGGGAAATGTTATCGAAGTTAGCTATACATATACTACCGATGGGTAAAACGAAATTCCACGGTCGATGAACTATCTGTGACACGTAAACGCGTCACGAGAGGATCCTCTCTGTTCTGTTGTGTTCGTCTTTCCGTGTACCTTATAAATAGACACCGAAGGGAAACGAAGAGAGAGAAAAAAAATGTTATTCGCCTCTTATTGTCTTTTCCCATCTGTGAATGTGTGTGTATGTGTCTACCCTCTCGAGGATTGCAGACTTTGACCCCTTTGACGGTAATTCTTTTCTTTTCCAGAGAGATCGCCGACGTCGGTGAATCCGCCGCGAAGACTGGTGGCGAACGGTCGCGGTAGCCAACCGAACAACAACCGTGTCAATAGTTTCGACACGAAGAAGAACTGCGTAGAAATTCCGACCATCAATCTCGGTGAGTGTCGACACGAGCGAGGGGTCTCCAGCGTGAGCGCGAGCACACGGCCTAAATTATGCGATCGGCCTGCATATATCCCCTGGACATGGTCCCCTTCCCTCTGGCCGTATTGTACCGGAGTGGCACGCTGAAAATGTTATAAGAAGGCCGATGTGGCACGGAAACGACGACGGATAAAGATAGATTTCATTCATTGGCGTAATGTTGGATCGATTTTTAGAACCCAGGACATTTGGGTTGTGGATAGTTTTCTTTATATTAACGCGTTCGCTACCAGGTTGCTAATTTCTATGTCAGTATGGTTTAAACCCTTTAATGCCCAGTGTGACGTCTACGTTACATCTACACTATACGTTCACGCCATCTCTGGGGTAATTTGCGAATCCCCTCGCGAAAAAATGATGCCGGTTTTGAGTCACTAATCACTAGTGGGGTTTAGTGAAAAAGGGGCACATGCCACATTTACGTCGGTTTTTAACTGTTTGTACCAACGACAAACTCCAACCTTACTTTTCCTCAAAATATCTGTTGTGTAAATTTATAGTGTTGTAGCATGTGCCCCTCTTCCACTAAGTCTCTCAATTGTGAGGGCAACGAACTAATTTGTATATCTAATATTTCTACGTAGACACTTCGAAATACGTAGACTCAAACTCGTTTAATGTGATACAGGACGTACGAGCGTGTAGCTAAGTCAATTAACTCGAACCGAAGTAGGATGCAGAGTACTATACACACAGAATGATATAATCGTTGTTCATTAACATGTCGGTACGCAAAAGAGTCTGTGGCGCAATTCCGTCTAGACGCTTTCGAACCAGACGTTGTGTCCCGTTCGTGATCCCCGATGTATGTTGTGTCACGGTTTGCAAATATGCGTAGCTACGCCCGTTCAGGAAGTCATAATTTATATGAATGATGTCTGCGAGGGGCCACACGAGCCAGAAACACTTCTAGCTATCCACCCTGTAAATATATGTATATAAATGTCTCTCTGTTCGCTGATTGGAACAGAGGAAACGAAAGGTCGAGGGCACCGTTGCGCACTTCCGGTTGGAGACCCAGTGCGACCAAGAGAACACACTTTTTCATCGAATGCGCCTGCCGCTATGCAACTCTCTGCGCTACTCTGCGCCGACAGTCGAGAACCGGGAGGCGTATTCGATAGTTTATCGACGCGTCGATAGCGCGAACCACCAAGACGCAGACGGATCTATTTTCGGTGGAAAGGCATAGCATTGAAAAGTATTATTGGCAACTGGCCACGACGGTTTCAGCAAACGGACATATTGCGTCTTATCGTTTTCTGGTTTCCCTGCGAAACATTCTGCTTCTTCGGATATATTTCTGACTCTTGGAATCGGATTCTAATTTTGAAATCATTAGTGGAAACGATTATCATTGATCGAAGCCTGGATCGACCTACATAAGTACAGTAAACGCCCATACCTTCTTAGAAATTTGTAAAGTCTATGATTATAGGTCAAAGGATTAAAATGGGTCGTTTGAAAAGTTCTCCTTATGAAGTATAGATTATATCAGTAATTCTGAAATTCCTAGTTCATCAAAGACTATTTTCGTTTGTTATATGAGTAACTGTAAAGGTGCGTATCATCGTATTGTATGCAACGTTTGCTCGTTCACGTTGATACACAGCGGTGATACAATACGTGGAACGCACCTTAACGTATTAAATCAATTGAGATCAGAAGTGAATCCGAGTATACAAGTTTTTCAAGAGTGTTTAGAACTACTTGGGCTATAAAATAAAAATATCACTGATCCAAGTGCATTGATGTTAACGAAGACTATATTGAAAAATAGAAACAAATAGAAGTTATCTTCATATTAACCTTAAAGAACTTTTCGAATGACCAGCATGCACTAACTCCCCAAAACCAGTGTTCAACAGCCGAAACAGGGTATTACCACGAGCCAGTTAATCCATTTAAACCAATGACCTCCCGAGACACGGCCAAAACACCTCTCCCCCAATTCTTCCTCATTCCAACAAACGGTGACGCGTCGAACATTCTCCTTGAAACTGCACCCGGAACAATAACTTTGTCCGACGCGTACAAACACAACCGATCCGCAATCAGGTTACTAAACCGTAGACGTTCATGGCGTCATCCGTTTGAAATCCTTTAATCGACCTGCGATCCAATATTCCAGGTAATTGACACCGAAATAAACGAGACTTATATTCGTCCGTGAATCCGTGGATGGTTAGTCATCCGGTGCCAGGGTATTCGAAAACCAACGAAAATTTTTTTTATTTATTGCCCCGCCACGGCCCCGCACAATGCCGCCGTTGAAATTCACGTGGACGACCCCTCAAGGTGTCGCGGTAATTAGCCGTGAGCGTAGGCCCGAATTCGGCCTTTTGTCCACCGTGGGGGCAGCTCAGGGATCGTAACGGTTGTATGTACCCTCTTACCGCAGCCACTGTGCGATTCGAACCCCCAACCGTGCTCGACGCCACGGTCAGTTCTTCGTTGACATTCGTCGAGGAAAGAAGTCCTAGTTGGAATATTCGGTTACATCGTCAGTCCTTTGACAACGTTCGTCGAGGAAAGAAGTCCCAGTGAATATTCAGTGTAGGCTGGTTCCCGTAGTTCCGTGCGCGTCGATTCGAATATTCGTGACACACACGCTCGTGCGTTGAGAGGTTTCGAGATCGGTCACTTCAGGGTGGACCATCTATTGTATCGAACGCAGCGATTAGAATAAGCGGACTTCGATACCGAGAGGACAGATTACTGGAACATAGAAGCAACAACCATGGTGTCGTCGTATTATCGGGAATATCTTGGTACTTTGTTTATTTATGACTGCCACTTGTTGCGCTCTAACCAATTTACTCTCCCAGTTCGTGCGCGATTGTTTGTCGTTTTTGTGCTCGCGTAACTTATACCTGCCGTACCTTCGAAGTGATTGTCTCGCGCCTGAATAGCAGCCTGTTCAAGAATCTTGTAATTGATCCTCTTATGGGATCAGAGGCGTCAGGTACTGTTTCAGTTCGTGGAAACGCATTTGTGGCGTTCTTCGGGGCAGAATTCTTGCCTGTCGTGTTGTTCTGTGTCTTTTTCAGTATATAGTTCTTGCTTGTTTGTTGAAGTCAGTCGCGAAAGTGGTTTGAATTGATAGGCGGAACCTTGTGACTGCTCAAATGTTCGAAAATTGTTGAAATGAATCTTCCGGTAGCATTAGAAGTAATGACGAACTGTCGTTCGTTCTTTCATTTAGAAAATAATTCGATTCAGTGAACTTTTTTCAATTAATTAGTAAATTTTAACTTTCAACAATTAGTAAATTTTTAGAATCAAGTGAATTCTGATTACTCGGCCAAAAAGTTATAGTACGGTCCAATTATCAAAATTTCGTAGATTTTTAGATCGAAAACTGTTAGATTTTTAAAATCTAGCCGAATATATACGACTAAATGCATATTACAGAATACATCGTTAAATGCTTAGGTTCGATATCACTAAATATGAAATATAGCGAGGCATTTACACGGAAGTTGGGTCGATTATTACTTTATCGTCCAAGAGGCTCAACTAGGTCGCCACTTTATCCTCTCTCCCCGAAGAAACGTTATTTGTCGCGCTCGAAGTTTTCACGTAAAAGGTTCCGGGGCTGGTTCGTGTTATCTTGTGCGGGCAGGAAAAACGGTGTGCACGAACGGTATACATATACATCGTACGCGTGTGTGTACAGGGTGATACAAAAGAAGGGTTCGTAATTTTTAGGATAGATAGCACTCGCCGAATGACGAACAAAATTTCTGATAAATATGCATCGAAAAATAAATATTTTTAGAGTTATAAGCAATTTTTTCTTCAGTCACTAGCTTTAACCAAAAAAAATTGTTTATAGCTTTGAAAATATTCATTTTTCGTCCCATGTTTATTAGGATTTTTTAAAATTATTTTGCGAGTACCTTATGCCCTAGAAGTTACGAACCCTTTTTCTGTATCACCCAGTATATACTTCATTGAATCCACAGCAGCAGGGATATTCTGTTATTTTTTTCTTTTTTTTTTTTGCTTCCAGAAAAGAGTCCGTCAGCGACGCGAAAGCCGACAATAACCAGGAGATTAACAACCACTGTCCCGACGAAGCAGCACGGTTCAACGACATCGTCGAAAGGTACAACATCGATATTTTCGCGCGCTCGGTTCGTGTCACGTCTTGCGGCGAAACAGTTTCATCTCAAGCTTGTGAAATGATGTCCCTCTTCGCCATCGTCGAATTAAAACGGAATCTGTTATCCTGTCGGTTCATGTAACGAGGAACTAATTCGATAGTTAACAGGTTTCCCGTGTCGCGTGGGTAACCGGAAGCGGATCGTTAGTTAATTTCGTAATTGCACCGTCGAGCGGAATGTCGAATGAAAACGCCAGGGAAAAGAGAAAGACGACGATATACTCTGCTCAGGATCGAAGGATTTTAATTTACTTTCTTTTTATTGGTGATTTTTGAGCCTCGAAAGGGACACTGCTTAATGTTAGATTTTGATTCTAGATTCTTTATTCTCCTGGGATTAAAATGGTACCAAAAAGCCAGAAGTGTCTCACGCGGTACGGGCAATGTTGATAACAATTAATTGCGTGCTCGACGAGTCTAGAAGAAAGCTGACAAATAGGCCACGGATGTTATGGAATTATTCTTCATCTGTAACCGTGGAACAAAGTGTAACCAAGACTAGGAAAAGATTCTCTCATCAGTTCGATGATAGCTCTGCTACCAGCTACGTTTATAGGATTCTAAATGTTACTACCACTGGTCACATACTTATCGATGAGGCAATCTTCTGCTTTCTCGTTCTCACCTCTCGAAACGGGGCACAGTAGTCCAGAATTAAAATTCAGCAGCTGAGATGGCCAAAAACATTTCTTTTATCTTCCAAAATGTCTTACATAAACTTACTATTAACCATGGAAGATTTGTTCCATGCATTATTGTTCTCTTCAGCACATTTTCTATCGTTAGTATTAGTCAAAAACAGAGAAAGAATCCCATCGAAGAGGATTCCTAAAGCTGAGAAAAATCTGTTCCGTTATCTACTTCTACTTAAATAAAATTATAAGTTTCAGAATTTTCCATTGCATGAGCTATTATATATACGTATGAGCTGCTACATTTCGATTCTGTACCACTGTGCGCCGTCCGAAAACGGTAATTCGCATAAACGTCCTCTACGAACATTCAGCGCTGAATTCAGACAGACAGCCGTTCAAAACGCGTTATCGCGTTAATTTCGTTCAACGCCGTGTGTGTGTGTCTGCCCGCTTTCTCAAAACCCGTGAGATCATCCGAATTCCAAAGAGGTGTAGCGACCACCTCGGTTTAACGGCACCGCTAAAACTGTCCGTCCATCCCCGACCGTTTACGTTCACCCCGCTGATGTGTGTGTGTGTGTGTGTGTGTGTGTGTGTTCCCTTCCGGCATTGTTTGTCAGGGAAGATAATAGCCGCGGGGAAATGCCAGCCAGACGAGCTTTCTAATTCATCGACCGCAGTGCGCGCACCCGCCGGTGGCATAGGCCGGTTTCTAAAAAAGTCCCACGGTCATTTCGCGGTGCGTGTGTATACGCAGAAACGCGTTTCACCGCGCATGATGCACAGGGACGTCTCGTCGTTTCGAAGAAAGTCGTCATTGTCGCTTTCACTGACAACGGAACTTTTGGTAACCCGAAAATTTTGAATTTTTTGTTGTTAGACTGTGCAGATTCCTAGGGGAGTTTGATAGAATAATCGAACGATCTTTGCTACTTTTTTTTATTCTTTAGGGTGAAAGCACCCCTTGAAAATTGATATAATTTTAATATTTCTCTTTTTTCTGCAATTCAGAATTAATGTTATGGTTCCTTTCTCTTGAAAAACCCGTGGTCCAACCTTCACCGATCAGATATACCATATCGTGGCGACGAGCAGAGCGTAGCAAATGAGCTAGCTAACCCTTTGATCCTTGGACGTCTCTACAATAATCACTGGAATTTACGTTTTCACTTTCGAACTGATATATCGCTCGACGAGCCCCACCTCCGTCCAAATTCGATGGACAACAGTCGCGAGAGCAGTCCCATTTCGTTGCTCGATGCTCGCGCGAGTGTTTATCTGGAACAAAATTACCAAAGCAAAAGATCACTATCAATGGACTGTCCGCGGTCTAGAAACCGTTCGAATCCCCCGGGTCGAGTTTCTACGAGTCTTCACGGTCTTGTACTTCCTTTCGTTTTAATTCCTTGTTGCCCATTAATCATTCATGAACCGGCCCGCCGCACCGGCTGATACATCGATAATGGCCGTATAAACCGAATTTGAAGAGAATGAAAAATCGGCCCTTAACAGGAATTCTTTTTTTTTATTAAATTTAATTACAAATATCTTAGAAAGTATAAAAGACATTTAATATTTCATTGATTCGAGCAACCTTTATTAATTGTTTCGTGCAGTGTAATGATGCAAATGGGTTAATACGCTTTCGAGAAGTGTAGTAATAGTCGATGGAAATTAGGGATGGGTTGAAACCTAATTTTTAAATTCTCGAAACTCGAATCCGAAACTGTCAAAACTTCAAGCGCTAATTTTGTTTTGCAAGAAGAATATTTTGTTTTAATAGCTGGTCTCGACAACATTTTTCCATAAATCTTTATTGACCATAGTTGAAGAAAAGAAAAACATAACAATATATCTATTTTACACTTTTTTCACCACTGACACTCGATAGTTTAGCACTTCCTACCTTTCACTACCTAACATTCGGTTTAACATTTGTTTCAGTACTTGAAATAAATTCACCAAGTGGCAGGAGGCCCTTCTCCCACGCCACTTTTTCCCCTAACGGAAGCCAAGCTTGCTCGTGAGGGTGCATTCTATGCCTAACAGAACCTTCTCAACTAAAGAAGTCCAACTATTTTTTTTTCTTACCCGAGTTTCACAGTTTCGAATCACGAAAAAAGTGCAAAGTTTTGAAGTCTCCAAACTTTCTTGGATTTCGATGTTTCGAGAAACTCATTCCTCGTGTAAACGATCCCAGCGCCATAGTAACGCAAGAGCCGTTTGCAGTTGAGCTCTGAATGACGAACGAATCAGTTGTAATTACTACATATTTACGAATCACTGCTAATTAACGAATTATTCAACTCTGGTAATCTGTCCTTTGGTTACAATTCGACGATTCACGGCCACGACGAAACGTTGATCCACGAGCGGAATGAAGAATCGCAGTGTCCGATCGAGGTCCTCGGCGGAAGAGGCGTTATCCGATCCGTCGATCGCTCGCGCACCGGATCATTATCCTCGAACGACCATACCGTGGACACGTATTGTCTCGTACAATTACGGCCAACCTCGACCATCTAAGGCCCCCCAACCCCGCCCCACTTGAACGATTCCATATGGAAATGCGAATTTATTCGGAGCACGGCTCCTTGAAATAATTCATCGCCAAGCGTGCTCGCTCGAGCGGCGGGCCATCCATTGTCGTATTATTCTTTCCTATTACCGAACGACTTCACCTAAAGGCACGGTTTCACGAGAATGGCTGTTTAGATTTAGACAAACACCTTTGGCAGAAAGGTGGATTTGAAGAATTTTCTATTGATAAACTAATCGAATATTTAGATTTGGGCAAACAATTTAAATGGAAAAAAGTTTTCTTTACGATCCAAGAAACCTGAAACGGCAAATGATAAATTGATGGATATTAGTTGAGTGGCGTTCAATCAAAAACGTTGACATCTTAGTTAACTACGGATCCTTACCCACAAACATGAAATATTATAATATTACTTAAATGATATTGTATATTATTATATACAGTAAAAATTAACGATACAATTTTCGCAGTACTTTTAAAATGAACGTTGCTCCGACGCAACACTTAGAATTAAAGGATTAATTTCCCAACGAAATGGAATTACAAGTTGCTTCCGTGTTTCTTCCCTACCTTCCTCACGCTATCCGGTAGAAATTATAAGGCTTTCTCGAGCGAAAAGAAAGAAACAAAAACACACACACACACGAAGCGTATTAATGCATTTATGGAAACGTTATGCAGACATTGTGGGTCATATGCAAGTCTCGTGTGTATCGTGAGTTGCTTGCTGTCGAGCCCGCGGCGTGTGTCCGGCCAGACACGGTTTTCCGCCGGTGTTTCTGCCCCCCCGTTGTCTTGGTCTTCGTCTTCGTCTTCCTCGAGGTTGCACCTCGTCGTCCGAAGGTGGTGGAGGTAGGAGTGGTCGAGCAAAGTAGAGGAAGGAGAGGGATACACATCGCTCCGCGCGGCACAGCCTGTGGCTCGTGCTAATTCAGTCGAAGTGCGGACTTGGCCAGCAAATCGTTACAAATGACGAACCCGATTAGAGCCCGTTCACGTCTGTCGTTGGATCTTCGTCGAACGTTTCTAAAGTGATTTTCGATACCAACGAAAGATCGTTTAACAACTTTCTGCCACCGTGAAAGAAACTTCCATACTTATCGAACAATCTAATACCAAATCCATTGGACACACAGTGTATGTGATAAATTCTCAAGAAACTAACAGTGCTCTACCCCTGTGAACATTTCGTTGCCACTATGTGTCGAAAAAATTCCTCGGATCACCTTCCATACAGAATCGGTGAATACACGAAATTGCGCAGCTCCGCGTCAGAAATCCCTTGATCCGCTTAAGGGTGATGCGGGCAGAGGGTTGTCCATGGGGAGGAAAAAGGACACAGGAAATTTTCGATGTTCCCGTTAAGGTGGGACGGTCATCAGCTTCTTGGATTTCCCGTGTCACACGGACGACCGTACGGTTGACCTTAACCCAGAGTGGTCTCTTCATTGACTGTGTGAGCTTCGGGGAGGGGGGCTGCTCTTGAACGCTGTGGTTTTCTGGGTCGTGAGCCGAAATAAAATCCGATCGAACTGGCCACTGCCACACGAGTGTTGACTCTTTTTTAGCCTGGTCCACCTACTCGAGGAAGGATATCAGGCGGGTCGGATCGATACGATGTATCCGCGTGCTTTCACGTACGTCACCATGTGTAATGGAGGATGGACCCCCCTGTTTATGACGTAGCCAGACCAAACGCAATCCTTCGAGTCACCTATTAACTAACTTTATGCGTGTGTCTGTATTCAAATTTCCCGCGAGTGTAATCGAGTTTTCGCGTCCTCGAACGTGTGGATTAGTCGCCACCGAAACGCTGATAGATCCTGAAAAACAGGTAGCCCCCCGACTTTCCAAGACCCCGGCAGAGATATACATATACAGCGAACGGTTTTCTCTCGTCCAGAAACGAGTTTTTCCGCGCCACGAACGAGACTTTCTTCGGTTCGCCTGGATCCAACCGGCATGACTGGAGATATACCCGGTGGAGACTCTTCTTTGGGGGTTTTGGGACGACTTTCGGTCCGGATGATCGTGTCTTCTCGATCGATCATTCGGGATAACGAGTGGTCCTGGTAGAGGATCCGGGGGAATAGGAAGTGGGAGAATGTGACGAAAGGATATATGTACTGGCTGTTTTAGATGAAACATATATGTACCGACTAGATAAAACATATATGTACTGGTTAGATAAAACGATATATGTGCTGGCTATATAAAATATCTGTGTACTGGCTAGATAAAGCATCTATGTAGTGGTTAGGTGAAACATGTATGAACTGGCTAGATGAATTGTACCGGTTAGATGAAACGTGTCGTCGGGGCGGCGTGGTGTGTGGATTTCGTCGGTGGATAGAATAACGAACGGTTCTGTTTTTGTTTCTCCCGTCGCGGTTTCGTGAAGTGTACCCGTCGTTCCCCGATGGTGATGGGCCCGGTGACGTTGGTTGCAGATCGTGAAACCAAGGAGAACACCAATAACTATGCGGTGAGCAGAGCATCGTTGGAGACGCGGGACCAAGCCGCGCAAACGGACATCCCCTATGAGACGGCGACGGTGGCTGCGGCTCGCGTGAAGAGAACGGAACAGGTTGTGCAGGCTCTTTCCGTGACCGTGCAGTATCTGGCCTATGAGGTATACATATACGCGTTATATGGACTTTGAAAGAACTTAACCAGAGACCAAAAATATCAGTTATATTAAACATTTTTTCGGAAAAAGTCATCGAGTAAAAAATAAGTTTTATTTAAATGGAAACCAAATATTAATAAATCACGAAGACATTTTTCAAAGAATCTGTTATACAAGACCTGTCGTGTATTCTCCTCCCGGCAGTTTTCCATTTAATTTAATTGAAAGTCGATTTCTAATTGTTGTACGGTTTAAGAATAAGTATCTGTATCTGGACGGTCAGTCAACTATCGCAATATGAAATGTTTCCATCCATCGTATCCCAGTCTACACGGCAGTTTAAATCATTTTCTTAAATATATTTTAAGGTGTTAATCTCGTGTGTCCGTTTAGTTGGACGCGTTTTCCACCCCGCAGCTGAAGAAACAGTGCGGGAACATGAAGAAGGAATGGATGACAGCCTGCACGGAGATCGAGGCGCTGAGATCTAGAAACCTCGGCATTGAAGACCGACTCGAGGCGGAGGGGGAGAGCCATCGAAGGGCCTTGGACGATCGTAAGTCTTGCCAAAAAGTTTTATTTGTGGTCTTCCTTTCAGTCTGCTGGCTCGTCACGGTGGAACCCCCCTCATCGTGACGTAATCCACGTGTACCCATTACTTCACAGAATTTTCGGAAATCTATAATCTCATTGCAGATTAACGTTTCGAGGGCTGAATAATAAAATGTACACTTGGAATGCAATAAATCGAAAACCTTTGTAGAGTAGACAAACCGGTAAATGAAACAAAATGAATGAATTAAATTATTAAAATCACCAAATAATTAAATATTGATTGTTTTCGTATTCAATTCTCGCGCCATTGGTTAGGTATTTCTGAATGTTCGTTTATTTAATATTATTCATGTACATTTTCTTTTCAATCAAATTAAATACATTTTTCCAATTTTTCAAATTGAAATCTATACGTTATAACAAGGTACAGATATTAAAAAATCTAATTTTCATATGCTAGGTATTTATTAATATTATTACCATGTAAACTTCGACTTTAATAATTACAATATCTTTCAGTGTTCATTCATTGGTGCATTTACCCTATTCGAACGACGTGTCCATATAAATATTTAATAAGAAATTTTATTCGTATCGTGATTCGATAATCTTCTTTTAGGTCCTCGGGTCCTCGAGCTGTTCATTGACGGTTTATATTAATTTCTCGATTAATCTTTTCTCGCCACGGTTGGACGCTGGTGTAACACGCGCATGCCTCATCCACTTTGTGCCTGGCACACGCATTGTGTCATGTATGATAATGATATTCACGCAGTAACAAGTTTAATGGTCCCCGATGAATGTCGGTGGTGTGACGAATCGTCGCCGAGGTTTAAAGTGGAGCAATTGTTAATTAAAATCTGCGGCTAGGCGGTTCGGCGTGCCCACGCACACCCCGGGCAATGGCAGCAACCGTTTCGAATGTAGAAAGAGACTTGTCAAAAGCGGCCACCACACCGTGGCTACCTCCTCGACATCAGAAACGGGCTCGATTTAGTGGCCACGTAACGTTCATCGGGGTTAATTATAGGTTGGCACGTTCGACGGGCTTGATCCGTTCTCCCCTGCGGCCCCCGCGGCGCCCATTGTTTTTCTTCCGTTTTTCAATCTACATCCCGATGACGTCAATAGGGCGTCGAACGTAAAAATGTTCATCTTGGTCCTGGTGTGTGGAAAAATTTATCCCAAACTGGGTTCTCCAACGATTCTCTAATCAGTAATGTTTGAATTCTTCTTCTGTTCCAGTGCAAACACGACATGCGGAGCAAATCGCGGCTCTGGAGGCAGCACAACAGGAGCAAAGGCGTAAGTTCGAGTCAAGAATGAAGGACACATTGATCGAGGCTGAAAAGGAGCATCGAGCTGCGGTGATGAAGTTACGGGCAGAACTGGAAGCGGAATTTTACCGAAAGGAAACGGAACTGAAGAGGCGATCGGTGGTGAATGATCAGGGCGCGGCGTTAATCGCTGAAGTCGAGTCCCTTCGATCCGTTCTCGAGATCAGAAGCCAAGAGAACGCAGCGTTTAGATCCGAACTGGATAATATCAGACGCGAGATCGAGGACAAAGACGCCTTACAGCAACGTGTCGACTCGCTGGAGGCCAGATGCGAGGATCTGAAGGCGCAGTTGCAATGCAAGGAGAGCCTCGAGCGGCAGATATCGCACGACAACGAGGTGTTGCACGAGTCGATCCATCAGATCTCGAAGCAGAATAAACGTCTGGCGCAACGAAACGAGGAGCTGCAGTGGAGGCTCCGTCAAAAAAACGAGGTGGTGACCGTTCTTGCGAATCTGACGCCTAGGCTTTCGCGATCCCTCGGCCCGGAGAACGTCGATCACACGCTCTCACCAGACAAGAACGGTCCTCAGTCGTCGTCGATGGTGAAATTTATGGTCGAGAAGGGTGATTCGGTCTCGTGGACCTTGGAGATCGACGACGAAACGTCGAAGAACGGATCGGACGGTGGAGTATTAGCGACGCCGCCGAAGATGAGCAGGCCAGAGACGGGACAGTCTGTGTCTAGGCAGGGATCTTTAAGATTGACGCCTAGACGATCGTCAGTGGACATGAGGGCGAGGTCGAAGAGCATCTCCGTGACGGATTCTGCGCGAGACGATGATTCCGGGTGGATGCCCAGGTGCAACTCGACACCTGTTGCAAGACGAAGACCCAGGAGCGATCCGTCTTCTTCGTCCTCGTCGACCTCCTCGACCGCGTCCCCGTCGTCCACCGCGGTCACGACGAATTCCGCGGTGGCCGTAGCTGTAGCCGCCGCTGCAGCTGCTGCTGCGGCGGCTGCGGAGGACTGCGGCGGAACCGGTCAAAGGCCGCAGGAGGCTGGCGGCGAGGCGATGATCTCCGAGGAGACGTCAGCCACTAGCAGCGAGGACGAGTCGTCCACCAGCAGCGATATACCCCCGCTGCCGATACAGTTCGCCTGGGGCAAACCGATCAAGTAACGTTTCAACCACGATTCGCTTGCGTTGTTTGTCCGGTTACTTACCACAGTTCGATCGCGAACAGCTTCGCGGCTGGATCGGAAATAAAATGATCCATTTGGGCGATCGATCGCCCACGTGGTGGTCACACGTGTGTACGTGACGTGATCGTTCGTTATTTTGGAGGTTCGGTTTGCGATGTAATCCTATAACCCCACGGGGGGTACCAGAAGCGATTCCGCGAAACTCGCGGAACACGTGTTTGTTGTACGCGCACTTTTTCTACGGCGGTATATGTATGTACCTGTTACTTGTACGGTTTTTGATCGCGAAGAGATATTCAGAAATGTGTGTGTAAGCTTCTTGTACCGGAAACGTTAGTCGGTGGAGGGAGAGGAGGTGGCGTGGATCACGTGAAATTGTAATCATTAAGGATCTGAATGAAGAGTGAGAGAGATTCTATGATATTACTGTTAAGGAGTCGCTAGAACGAATTCACTCGAGCTTAAGTGTGATAGCTTGAGCATGCCATAAGCGAGAGCCTGTATCCCTTTCTTCAACGACTGTGTGCGGAGGTTCGATAGCCGGTTTGGTAATGTGTTAGGAAGCGAGGGACAAAGAAGTTAGGGTTTATTTAAGCATCTAGATTAGAGACGATTTTTGTATAGACAGATGTTTTCGAGCGACGGCGACTATTGCGTTACTACGATCACCGGAGCTAACTTCTCTTGTATCTTTGTTCCGACTCGGATAGATTCCCGTATGTCCAGACTTTATCGTATAACAGTTTCGTTTCGGATCATACGGATTCTGTAACTGGCCCACTAGTGTACCTTCACACGATTGCAGGGCAGTAAGGAATTCTCGTTTGTTTCATAGAGAAGAGCGTGCATGGAAGATGGAACGAAATCGAAGTGTGATTCATTCGATCCCGAGGTGTATTTAAAATTACTGTGTCCTGTAGAATAGAGAAAAGTGCGCGTAGAGGTTCGATTGATTTCGTTTGGGGAAGGGGGAGGGATTCGTTGTCAGTCTCGATTATAGAACTTTCACGCGGTTACCGAAGATTCACGAGGCCACGTGTTTCTCGGAACCAATTCGAATCGAGTCACACCCACACATACATACATACAAACACACGCACACACATACATACATACATACATACATACATACGTACGTACGTACGTACACTGTGTTTGTTTGATTCGAGACACTTTTACACATGTCCGTTTTATAAGGTATAATGCGTTTATATATTACGTCTGTACATAAACAACAACGATGTTTATAAATTAATTAGTCTTTATCGCAGACATTGTACATAGATAACGACTGTCAGTCAAGTCGATGATCCTCGAGAAACTAAAAAAGAAAGGAAAGAAACAGTATAAACAGCGAAAAGGAGAGGGGTAGGGGGAAACGTCGATGAGCCACTCACACTGTGCTTACGAAGAACACTAATTCGTCGTTGAAGTATATACAAGCTTACCGAACAGTACGATTATCGTGGTTCGTCGCATTTTGGAATCGATTAACTTTCATTCTTGCCCCACACTAGTCCCGTTGATTCCGAGCGTAACGCATTTTACATTGAGACTCTGTGGAATAAATGAGTTTTCATAACGTGTTGAAATTTTTATTTTCGGGCGGTTCACGCGATCACGGGAACGTTATCCTGCGATACTCTTTCGACGGGGAAGAAAGAAATGAATAAAACGGATGTCACGGTTCTTAAAGTTGAATACGTTTTAATTATCGACGAGTCGACAGTAGGGATCTGAAACTCCACTCCGTTTAACGTGTGACTTGGTGATTCTACAAATGTTAAATGGTACCTATTCTAGGTACCGTTTCTTAAACCGACTGCCGCGCGGCGAGGAATAATCGGTTGGATGTAAACGTCGATTAAAACTGAAATGAAACTCCGTTCCACGGACAACTGGAAAAGTATGTTCGGTAGCAGTAGTATAGGAATAATTGGAGGGTGTCGAATTATAAGGAAACAGCAAGTATTATTCGCCGAGAAGTGTGTTTTCTCTCACATGTGCTGGCAAATTCAATGTACCTATCAAATAAATATCTGAATTAAGATAAATCCTGTAGGGGTGTTATGAAATCATTGGTTTAGTTCAGATAGAAGGTTATTAATGAAATGTTACCTTAAGAATATCCTTAAAAGAGAATGAATTAATCTTGAAACACTAAGGGAAAATGAAGATTTAATAGGCTACTTGTACAAACTACACAGTGAGATATATTGTACAATAATATAAGAAGGGATTCCTGATTACAAACTAAAGCTGAACGTTTAAATAATACATATTGCTTTTTACAGATTTTATTTCCAATAGAATCAGATTTGAAAATGCATACTCCTTCGTTAAACCTTAACATTTTTTAATCCCACCAGAAGTGTCCAATTTATACTGTAATTCTCTAAATTATTAGCTACCGGAGTTCATTGAAATGTAAATTTTTTACCATTCTTCACTACGCACGTCATTCTCTTGTTTTTATTTAGTTTTCTTCATTTTCAGCTGTTGTTAATGCAGTTTTGGGAAATAACTTTTACGACAGGTACACAAATTACCGTAAGATGTCGCCTACAATTTGTATCGTTGCGCGGTTTGTTTTCCATTTCTCTGTTGACAAGGAAATCGCACGAGGGTTTTTAACTGTTTTTAACTTTCTTCCGCGTATATTTGTCACTTTTGTTTGTTGTTATTACACATGTTCATCACATTTGATAAATAGCCAATACAACGAAATAGGAAGCGCACCGTTCGATGACCGTTCTTAACGTGCTTGTTTACAAAAGCGTGGTTTTAAATGATGGAAGGTTCGAAAGTCGAAAAAAGAGGAACATTGGACGATTCCGATGCAAAACCACTCGAGCCTATTTTGGTGAGGCTCGACGAACGCGGTTGCGCTGCTCATTATATTTTTATTGATAAAAATGAGGTACTAAGAAATAACTATTGCCCACCATTGCGTTATTAGCGCTACTTTTTTGCGTATCATTTTTAACGTTATTTTCAATTCTCAACAGTTTAAAATAGGTCGTGCAAGGGACAATGATGAAATTATATTGGATACAATGATATCTAGAAGGCACTGCCTTTTAAGATGCGAAGGAAATGATGAGTGGACCATTAAGGACTCAAGTTCCTCGGCTACATTTGTCAATGATATTCCTCTCACTTTTGGAATAACTCAGAGAATCTCTGATGGAGATATTATACAGTTTAGCACATGTGATCAATTTAAGTATAGGTTCACGCTTGTTGCCAAGGAAGAATGTAAAACTAAGAAACCAAGGTTGGATGAACAAATACTTGATAATGTTCTTACAGAACAGAAGACATTTGCAGAAAGTCAGGAATGTCAAAAGAGAGTTCTTAAGGACAAGCTGCAAACAAAGCAGAAGGAGCAAGATATATTGAAGCAGCAGTTGGAAGAGCTTTTGAAACAACAAGGTGTCACAAGAGAGGACACAGATGATCTGAAGAAACAAATTACAATGTTAGAGGGTAAAATAGAGAGTGGTAATCTGCAAGAGAAGCATTTACACAAGATGTATGCGGAAATGTTAGAAAAATTGGAAAGTGAACGAGTAGAATTTGAGAAAAGATTGAACGATGAGAAACAAAAATGGCAAGAAGCATTGAATGTGAGTAAACAGGAGAAAGAAACATTGGAAATCAAAATGAGAGAGCAGATGGAGAAATGGAGAGAGGAACAGCAGGCTGAATGGAAGAGTGTTATGGAAACCATAGTTAAAGAAGAGAAAAATATACAGGCTCAGTTATTGAATGAGAAAACAGTTTTGGAAGAGAAGCTAAAGGAAACAGAAAAAGCTTTGAAAGAACAAGAAGCTAAAGCAGAAACAATACAAAGTAATGGTGCGATTCATATGTTTATAATTAGAGTATAAAAACGGATATTAAATGATAAACTAACATTCTTTTCGCAGTTGCAGGCCCATCTGTTACCAATACCGATAGCTGTATATTTTTAGAACTATTAAATGATCCATCAGGAATTCGGATCTTAGACACAATAGATTTAACACTGCCTACACAGATTGATGTAGGTACTGAAGAAAAAGAAAGTATAATGGATAAAGTTACAGATATAATGGATGAACAGTTAACTTGCAGTGTATGTTCAGAGTTGTTTGTGAAAGCAACAACACTAAGTTGCATGCACACATTTTGTCAACATTGTATCCGTTTGTGGAGCAAGAAAAAAAGGGAATGTCCTGTGTGCAGAGCATCGGTAACGCACATGAATAGATCACTAGTTCTTGATAATTTCATTGAAAGTATGTTAGAGAATTTACCTGCTAAGCTTAAACAAAGAAGGAAAGAACTTATAGAGGAAAGAAAAGGTAAACATAGAAATGATTTGTGTAATATTTTAATAAGCAACAATTAAAATGTTTCATAAATGTTTCAGTGAAGAATGTTCCAATGAAGGAACGAAAAAAGAAAATACGTTGAATCATTGGTTCAAGATGGTAAAAAAAGTCTGAGTTTCGTTAAAGTTTAATACCTACATTTTATGTCAGTAAATTTTACTCTTTCAACTTTCAACGCTGACTACAGTCAGCGATAGTTTAAAAGTATTTACATAATAACATTTTTTAACATAAGCTGTAAAAATTAAACATGTACATAGATACGTGTATTATTTTTAATTATAAATATTTTGTAAAAAAAAGTTGGCACTATTGTCGGTCTATTAATTGTAAAGAAGAATTTAAATTTAAGTAGCTTACACAACATTATTCAGCCGTAGTAATTGTTAATATAAAAAAATAATTACGACTTTATGCAGTGATGCTACCTCGCGAGAGAAGTGTAATACTACTTGGCCAGTAGCTTGGGCTTCTGTCCGCAGATGACGTTACAGGGCTTCTCCATCAGGGCAGCTTAAAGTATTAATTAAATCTTAACCCTATGTGTAATGCGGCATTTACTAATGCTTTCACACAACCATAGGAGAATCCTCACAAACAGCCACATTAGAAAGAGAGGCAACTACTCTAGCTATTCTCTCTCGTGTGTCTACTATTATATATGCTATGGTTGTAACCATAGACATATACACTACTAGACAATGAGCGTTTCTGTCGCAAAGCGCCGCATGTGATGCGTACCTGAAGCTTATCTGTGACCACCCTTTTTCCTAAGAGTGGCAGATCCATTGTAATCCGTGTACCGAGCTGTACCGAGCTATACTCTGAACGTCGCGTAAATGGCGAAATATATACGACGACACTAGGGCAAAGTAAGATTATTTTGTTCGGTGGAGTGCTTTGTCGGTCCGTTGGTCCGATCGAGTTTTCGTGTCGCTGACGGACCAACCACGACGATACGGTTACGTTGTTTTTCGCAGTGGAAAACGACACGTCTCTGGAAGGATGGCGACCTGACCCTTTCCGAATAATGGAGCACTGTGCACAACGGTACGTTACTCCGTCACCAGTCCCCATTTACCGAACTGTATGCGATTATTTTTTATGCGTATCGGGTATCTACAGTATGCACCTGCACGGCAACAAGCCACCCCTCCGAATGCCCTGAAGGTTACACGATGTTATTAAAGATAGTATCACGCTTACAGCCGTTGTCGTGGACAAATTTTTTTCCCGCATTTCTTTGTACGTCGACGACAATACACGATTTCACGATATCGAATCCAGGACCACGTGTCTTTATTTGTTGTACTCGCGAACTAAGTTTCCCTTATCCGTAATCGTTAGTTATCACGGCTTTATCACGGCTATTTACATACTTGAAATCTTCTAGAAATAATGTCTCGTTAGACAGACAGAGACACGGGAGGGAGAATACGACTGTCAATGTAATTCTTAATATAGACGTTTCACGAGACTTTTTCGCTGCATTTATATTTGTTACCCTTGTGTACTTCCAGTTGTTTTCGGAACTGTACATGACTTGCATTGTCACTTTTCGATGACATTCCGAAAAGCTATATTTCTTTTTTATAAAATTAATGCTAACTTGGATACTACTTTAATTAAATTTATAATTTCGTTTTTTCGTATTGTTTTCAGATTGTCAGTTTGAAATACATTTAATTGGTGCTATTAAACTTACAAGGTAAGCTGTGTTACTACTGGACTATGGATGTTTATGTAACTATAAACTTTTATGGACTTATTTGTAAATAGAAACTGAAATTGAATAGTTATACGTGTATTTTGTTAAGGGTTTTAGAAGGCTCTAAATAAACTAAAATTTAGTTTTATATTACATTCCATTTCGTTTCATTTGCATTATATTAGATTTAATTTTCAAATATACATTAAGTTCAGTTTATGTGAAATTGAATATTGTAACGATAATTCTCTTTTGTTGTTTAATAACAGATGGCTGATGTTGATCCTGAAACGCTGTTAGAGTGGCTCAGTATGGGCCAAGGAGATGAAAGAGACATGCAGTTAATTGCTCTAGAGCAGTTATGCATGCTGCTACTCATGTCTGATAATGTTGACAGATGCTTTGAATGGTAAGTGATATTATATTATTCGTGTATACTTTGCTAGCATAAATCGAAATACTAACAGAAATTGTTATTTGTCTTATTGTAGCTGTCCTCCACGCACATTTCTCCCTGCATTGTGTAGAATCTTTTTGGATGAACTTGCACCGGATAGTGTCTTAGAAGTGACTGCTCGAGCTATCACATACTACCTGGATGTTTCTGCAGAATGTACACGCAGAGTGGTAGCAATGGAAGGTGCTGTGAAAGCTATTTGCAGTCGCCTATCTGGAGCTGGATTAGGTTCTAGAACTAGTCGGGATTTAGCTGAACAGTGCATAAAGGTACTGAATAATTTGATCGCTATTGACTATTATGTCAGGCTATATGTACTAATATTACTGTCACTGTAGGTACTAGAACTCGTTTGCGCAAGGGAAGCTGGTGCTGTATTCGAAGCTGGTGGCCTTCCGTGTGCCTTGTGCTTTATTCGAGAGCATGGAGCTCGCGTACACCGAGACACCCTACACTCGGCAATGGCTGTAGTCACTCGGCTATGTGGAAAAGTAGAACCGCAAGATAAATCATTACCAGATTGCGTGGAAGCATTGTCAACGTTACTTAGACACGAGGATGCGCATGTTGCCGACGGAGCACTTCGTTGTTTTGCGTCGTTGGCCGATAGATTTTCAAGGAGAAATACAGATCCTGCTCCTTTAGCGTCTAATGGATTAGTTTCTGAACTTTTACATAGGTATATTTCTATAATTCCTAGAATTGCCGAATTATATAGATGATTACATTTGTAACTTTGATCTGTTAGACTATCGAATGCAGCAGGGTCCGGTACATCGATAGCAGCAACTTCTGGAAATCCAAAGACACCACCACCCTCCAGTACAGCATCGACGATTCCTGCGCCAGAAGCAAAATCGTGCGCTTCTGTTTCTACTATAATTAGTCTTCTATCGACGCTTTGCAGAGGATCACCATCTATAACCCATGATCTACTACGTTCGGAGTTACCGGATGCTATCGAGAAAGCTTTAAAAGGCGACGAACGATGCGCTCTTGATTCAATGAGACTAGTTGATTTATTATTAGTTTTACTATTCGAAGGCAGGTCAGCGTTAGGTCGTAATACAACCGGCGGATCTTCGGGCCCTTTGTTACCACGGTTAAGACGTTTGGATAGCGCCGGAGAAAAGTCTCATAGACAGTTGATTGATTGCATTCGGTCGAAAGACACGGACGCGTTAATAGAGGCTATAGATTCTGGTGGCATCGAAGTCAATTTTATGGACGATGTTGGCCAAACGTTGCTTAACTGGGCGTCCGCGTTTGGAACTCAAGAAATGGTCGAATTTTTATGTGATAGGGGAGCTGATGTGAATAAAGGTCAAAGGTCGTCCAGTTTGCACTATGCCGCCTGTTTTGGAAGACCAGCTATCGCTAAAGTATTACTTAAGCACGGAGCGAATCCCGATTTGAGAGATGAAGATGGAAAAACCCCATTAGATAAAGCCCGAGAACGCGTGGACGAAGGCCACAGAGAAGTTGCAGCTATATTGCAGTCACCCGGTGAATGGATGTTACCAAATCAAGAGCACAGAAAACCGGAAACGGAAACCGAGTTCACAGAACCGAAAGGTGATCCCGAAATGGCGCCTGTTTATTTAAAACGGTTGTTACCGGTATTTTGTGCAACCTTTCAGTCGTCTATGTTGCCCAGCGTCAGGAAAGCCAGTTTAAGTTTAATTAGAAAGATGGTGCATTACATACAACCAGAACTGCTCGTTGAAACATGCGGTTCTGATAAAACAGGAGATTGCGGCGCTATGCTTGTCGAAGTGATTGCCAATGTGCTGGATAACGAGGTAGGGTTCAGGATATACGATTGTTTCTGTAATTAGCATTATCTTTTATAGATTTCTTTAGGTCCTGTGCGCATAAGTGGAAATTAATATTGTTCCAGGACTAGTTCATAATGTTTTTTTGAACTTTCTAGTAGTTATGCAGGCAGGCAGGCAGCCAAACAGACAATTCTAGTGATTTAGTTAAGACTGTTCACAGGAGCTTGAGTTTAAAACACCATCACCACCACCTCCGCCTCTCAAGCCGTTTATTGGCCAAAAATTGCGTTGCCTCTCGTCGCGCAAGTCTTCCAGTTCCCTGAACTACATTGTTGATAAGACGGTAACGTCTACTCTATATTTGCCAATCGCTAGTTGGAAGACCCCTTGTGTCCCCTAAAATGCTATTCGTGACACCCCAAACTTTTTTTTTTATAATTTTTTTATTGGTTTCATTAATAACTATACGAATATTTCATTAACATAACGCATTCACTGTATAATTTATACAAAGCGTGATATCTAACAAATGTAAGCATGTCTTACTTCTATTTTGACAAAACGTACTTTTCAATGTCAAACGATACTTTGCGATACTATAAAAAAAAAATATCCACAACACGGAGTGGAGATCTTTTTTTTTGTAACTACAATGCATTAATACAATGTTATACAGCCCAACGAGCAATTTATATTTTAGCACAGAACGTGACATAAGAGGACAAGTTAGGGTAAGAATTTTGGAAATTTCATTAAGAAGCCAAAGGATGCTTAGAGACATTTTTTTTAGCGAATGGAGCGTGGAGTTTGTTCTGCCAAAATAGGTGTATATGATGAAGGATTAGATACAAAGCTCGTTGTCCACTTCTGTCGACTGTCTGCCTGCTGCTGGTGGGATTAATCGGGTTGCATTTATTTGCTTGTGATTTCATTGAATCCGCGTAATCGTTTTTTGCTCATACATCAATCTGTGCCCGTTACATCCGTGTTACATACTGAACAAGACAAATCACAGACAAAATCTGTAGAAACTTGTGTAGTACACTCACTTTGTATTAAATCTTGAAAGAGGGAAGGACCAAAAAGCAAAAAAAAAAAAACAAATAATATCTGTTTCACTTAACCGGAATTTTATTCTAAATAACATTGCAACAGGATAGCCGATCTAAACCGTTCTTTTTCTATTTTAATCTGAATAGGAGGACGAGGACGGACACTTAGTGGTTTTGCAAATGATACAAGATTTGATGATAAAAGGCAAAGATGAGTTTCTAGAACATTTCGCTCGTTTGGGAGTCTTTTCGAAAGTTGCTGCGTTAGCCGGATCACAAGAGACAGCACCGGAACCAGAAGCAGAGTCGAATCAAGCCGGAGAAGAGCAGAAAATGGAGGATGCGAGAGAGCTTCTGGTTGGAAGAGCTTATCATTGGAAGGATTGGTGTATTTGTAGAGGACGCGATTGTATGTACGTCTGGTCCGATGCGGCCGCCTTAGAATTATCAAATGGAAGCAACGGATGGTTCAGATTTATACTCGACGGGAAACTGGCGACAATGTATTCCAGTGGAAGTCCAGAAGGTGGAACGGACACCTCAGGTGCGTTTCTTATTTCTGTATGTCGACACGAAAATTCATCATATACGTCTCGTCAATCTTGTCATTGCCTTTCTTGTCGAAGTGTTCTTTTCACCTCCTCTCACACCCCCTTCGCGCCAGATAATATTGGTTTTACGCTCTTTTTATCGGATCACTTCTTTCTTTTTTACGTTATATCTTTTTCATTTGTGATTAACTTCCACGAGGGGAATAGTTTAGTAAATAACTGATTTTACTAACTGCCTACAGGAAAAGGGAGGAACACAGAGCCGCATTCCACTGAAGGTAGGTACATTAAATGTTCAACTCTCCTCGTTTTGCACGCTATCACTACCCCTTCAGTGTACATCATCATCATCATCATCATCATCATCGTCGTCGATCGCATTAGAACTTCCTTAATTTCTGGCATGACCTGAACATATTCTCTGTCACAACATTACGCGAATCATTAAACAAAAAAATATCTTCACAGAGACACTGGTTCTACTGTCGATTCGACTGTACGATTTACTGGAACGTATCTCTGTTTTGCAGAGAACCGCGGGGAATTCTTGGAGAAATTGCAAAGAGCACGCAGCCAAGTGAAACCTAACTCTGTGAGTCAGCCGGTTCTGTCGCGTCCCGGCACGACACGGCTGGTTGTTGGAAATTGGGCATTATCGAGTAGAAAGGAGAGCGAATTGTGCATAAATAATAGCGAAGGTCTGCCGCAGTTAACGACATTAAGGGAGGATCTGCCTGGATTTATTTTCGAGTCGAATAGAGGTACAAAGCATTCCTTCACGGCAGAAACAAGTTTAGGTGAGTGAGAGTAGACTTTTGGGCTCACTATGCCACGAATTAATTGCATTCTTGTTCTTTTACATTGTTCCTGTTAATTTTCAGGCCCGGAATTCGCAGCAGGCTGGGCTGGAAAGAGGGGAAAGAGGTTAAGATCGAAGATAGAAGCCATCAAGCAGAAAGTGAAAATGCAAGCTCAGGACATCTGTGAGCGTTATTTCAAAGCTGCTCAGGCTCAACCGCGCGGCGTGGTCGCCAAATTAGGCGCGATAGTCAGTCAGATCGAGAAGGCCTGCCAGAAGCAACAATCTGGGAACCGAGAATGGCGTAATATATTACAGAGCGCGCTAGAAGAATTGAAAGTTTTATTAAACGAAGAAGGAAAAGTTTCCGCTTACGAGCTGCACTCAAGCGGTCTGGTTCAAGCGTTGCTTACACTGTTGGCGGCTCCGCCTGGGCCACAGCCGCCGACATTGCGAGCGACTAAGCTCCGGATGCAACGGATAGCAGTGTTTAAAACCTGTTTCCATACCGCGGACGTGACCAGGGAGCAGAATTCTGCTAAAATTCTAGTCCATAAATTGGTCTCGGTCCTGGAATCCATCGAAAAATTACCGGTCTACTTGTACGACACACCAGGCTCCGGTTACGGCCTGCAAATTCTGACGAGAAGGTTACGGTTTCGGTTGGAAAAAGCGACTGGCGAAAGCTCTCTGATAGACCGATCTGGTCGTAGCTTGAAGATGGAACCGTTGAGCACTATACAACAACTGGAGAATCATTTATTGAAAATGGTCGCGAAACAGTGGTACGATCACGACCGATCCACGTTCACGTTCGTGAAAAAATTGAAGGAGGGGAATAAGGTCACGTTTAAATATCAATACGACTTCGACGAGAACGGTTTGCTGTATTGGATCGGCACGAACGCCAAGACATGCTCTGAATGGGTGAACCCTGGTCAATACGGTTTGGTCGTTGTCACGTCCAGCGACGGAAGGAATTTGCCCTACGGCCACCTCGAGGACATTCTGAGCCGTGATCCCTCGGCGTTGAATTGCCACACGAACGACGACAAACGCGCCTGGTTCTCGATCGACTTGGGAGTTTGGATCATCCCCAGTGCTTACACGCTGAGACACGCGAAGGGTTACGGCAGAAGCGCTTTGCGAAACTGGCTGTTCCAAGCCTCTAAGGACGGTGTCACCTGGACCACTCTGTATGCTCACGTGGACGATTCGTCTTTACACGAACCTGGCAACACAGCCACGTGGACGTTAGAGCTACCCGCGGACGAGACGCAAGGTTGGCGTCACTTACGGTTGCAACAGATCGGAAAGAATTCCTCTGGCCAGACACATTACTTGTCCGTGTCTGGGTTCGAGGTTTACGGCGAGGTCACCGGAGTGTGCGAGGACTTGGGTCGCGCGGCCAGAGAAGCTGAGGCTGGGGTACGAAAACAAAGAAGATTGATTAAAACTCAGGTACTTCGTCATTTGGTCGCTGGTGCTAGAGTGGCGAGGGGTCTTGATTGGAAATGGAGAGATCAAGATGGAATACCGCCAGGTATTATATTGCACAATTTCTTGATTGAATATTATCTGTATTTCATCACTGCGAATTAACAAATTGCTTTTTTGTTGTCCTAGGCGATGGTACCGTAACAGGAGAGTTACATAATGGTTGGATAGACGTAACGTGGGATCATGGTGGCTCTAATTCCTATAGAATGGGCGCTGAAGGGAAATACGATTTGAGACTAGTCGGTACCGGCCTCGATACGGATAGTGGAACGAAATGTAAAACTGCTACTGGAGTTCTAACGGGACGGAAATCTAGTAGTACCCCTAGTTTACCAGATTGCACCGACACCGCGATGCGTGGTTATGTGGCGACTACGGATCAAGCAGTGAGCGCAGATAATTTGGCAGCTAAGGTACAGTTACAATATTCTGTTTAACGTATAATCGAAAGCGTAGTTGTCTACTTATTGTTGATGGAACGACGATGTTGAAACGTGTGACGATGATTAATTAATTAGAGAGGATCATCGTATTCGTTTAACCACAGATAAGGTATAGGAGTAGACATTTCATCCAATGTATATGTTTCTTTCCACTTTTCTGGGGCGACGTAGCCACATTTCCATTTTACATTACCCACCGCAGATTCACCGGTCTCATAACATAGAGGTCGCTAAAATCACACGCTTTTTTAAGGTTGTTGGTGATGAAGTGTCTACACCTATACCTCGTTTGTGGTTTAACATAGCTTAAATTTTCTATTTCTTGCAAGCAGCAAGCCGCTGAATCGATAGCAGAAAGTGTGCTATCGGTTGCTCGTGCCGAAGCGGTTGTGGCTGTGACCGGTGAAGGTGGAGCAAACTCGACGAGTGAATTGTCCGTTGTATTACATCCACGGCCTGACACTACTGTGACAAGTGATCTGGCGACAATCGTCGAGAGCCTTGCTCTTAACACCGACTGTTCCACCAACAGTAACAGCAATCGTGCATCTAGTAGTTCAAAACCATTGCTTGGAAACACTGTGCGAGGAAATAAGGTGTGAATAACACGCATAATCATTAACCGAATCACCATGTTTTATATATGTGTATGTATACATATATATATATATATGTATATATCATTTACATTAATTGTACATTTGAATGCCCTTGCAGCCGGTGACAAGTTTACTCGAAGCAGCCGAAGCACTTGACCGTGTCCGAGAAGGAGCTGACAGGCTACGCAATAATACTAATAGCTTCTTGAGCGGAGAGTTACTTAGTTTAGTGCCCGTTAGAATTAGCGTGTCAGGCGAATCGGAAGAAAACTCGTTGAGGATAAAGTCCGTTCAAAGACATCACTCTGGAATTGCCGATGGTACGGTGATATCATAATTTTGCTTTTCTTTTTTCATTGTCCAAACGAAGTAATCGTTTGTGTACTAATGATTGTACTATTGCCCCTTAAAATATGTCTAAACTCACACATGACAAAAAATATATATACACGGTGTCCCAAAATAGCCTCGACTTCCGGAAATGAGGGGTTTCTGGGATGATTTGAAAGAACTTTTTTCTTAAGAAAAATGTTATCCGAGGTTTTGTTAACACTTCTGTTAAGGAAAAAGTTGTTTCAAATCATCCCAGGAACCCCACATTTCCGGGAGTCGAAGCTATTTTGGATCACCCTTTATATCAATTTCATTCCGTTTCCTGTTATTCACCTTTTGCGTTTCTACTCGAACTAGCTGCCAAAGAATGCAGTCGGGACAAAGAAGCTAGCTCATCTGCGCAAAATACAACAGGTGGATGTCCTGTTGTTGTTACCAATCCTATGTCTGTGTCTGTCCCCAATCTTGCTTGTTCAGACGCTAACAATACGTTGGAACCAACAACCGCTACTGGTTTATTGGAAACTTTTACGGCGTTGGCACGGAGACGAACGTTTGGTTAGTGTCCACAGAAATATTGCACGAGAATGTTTGGATATTTCGCGTGTTTGTTTAATTAATTACTGTTCATTCGAAACTCTTGTACTCTGCTAACAAATGGTTCCTTCCTAGGACCTACAGGTGGACAACACATTGCTTCGAATTCCAATACCGGTTCGAATTCCCGCGGACCAAACTCTGTGTCGAGTTTGGTTCGACTCGCCTTGAGTCCTAATTTCCCTGGTGGTCTACTAAGCACTGCTCAAAGCTACCCAAGTCTGACCAGTAGTGGTCAAGTGGCAGGCAGCGGTGTTACAACAACGACTGGGCCTGGTTTAGGACAGGCGCTCACAATGTCATTAACCAGCACAAGCAGCGACAGCGAACAGGTAAATATCGGCAAACATTCGTACAAGTTATGTTGAAGTAGTATCTTTGAAATAATAATGTATATACGGAATCGAATATGGAATGTATGATTTTATATAATGTAATAAGCAGTTATGGCTACAGGTGAGTCTTGAGGACCTCTTGGAATCTTGTGGAGGCGTTGCAAGTTCCAGCGCTGGTGGAGGTAGGACAACTGGCGGACCAACTCTTCTGACCGAATTAGAGGACGACGAAGACGGTGTCCTTGAAGAGGAAGAGGATAACGATGAGAACGATCAAGAAGTGGGTACAAAAACTCTATAAGCACCATTATAATATGAACTAAAGAGACACTGATATAATATCGAGTTGTTTTTTTTTTTTTTTTTTTTATACATTTTCTGCAGGAGGATGACGAAGAAAACGAAGAAGAAGGCGATGGCTGTGAAGGTGATTATGAGGAAGCATTGGTAAGGCGTAATCTACTGGCGGCATTCATGGAAGAAGAACCGTCTCAGAGCAGCAAGAGTCGTGCTTGGGATGACGAGTTTGTTCTGAAACGTCAGTTCTCAGCCTTGATTCCCGCATTCGATCCACGACCTGGTCGGACAAATATCAATCCGGTATGTGTAAAGCAATTGAACTGCATGTGATTTTTAGGCTATTCTAATCATATAATCTCTCTCGTGTATAGACAACAGATTTGGAAGTTCCGCCACCTGGCAGTGAAACTCAGTCCAGTGCTCGCGTAGGCTCGTTGCCTATGCCGAGGCTTTCGTTGACGTTAAAGGGTCCAGGACTTCCAGGTGTACCGGATGTCGAACTACCGCTTACGGAACCACACGCCAGTATCTTCCAAGCGGTGCAGGAGTTGATGCAGTTAACCGAATTAGGAAGTCGACAGGAAAAGCTGCGAAGAATATGGGAACCAATTTACACGTAATATATTTATGTGTCCTTAATGGAAAGTGTCTATAATTCCTGTAATATGCGTACACTTAATTTCTGTCCTTATTTACAGTATAATATACAAAGAATCCAGGGATGAAGAATCATCCGGAAGAGCAACGCCGATCGTGACACTGTACTCTCGTAATGCCACCCAGAATACTTCAGTTTGCACCGTGGAAGACGTTCTACAGCTTCTCAGGCACGTTTACGTACTAAGCACGACTCGTGACGACGGTAAACACATAGATTACGAAGAGTCCGAGGAGTCGACGTGTTGCATTCATCCGGACGACTTCACCTCAAAAAAGATCACGAACAAGATAGTCCAACAAATTCAAGACCCGTTGGCGTTAGCTGCCGGGGCGTTGCCGAACTGGTGCGAAGAACTGGCAAGGAGTTGCCCGTTTCTGTTGCCCTTCGAAACTAGACGATTATACTTCAGTTGTACTGCATTCGGGGCATCGCGATCCATCGTCTGGTTACAGACGCAAAGAGATGCCGTCCTCGAAAGACAAAGGGCGCCCGGTTTAAGTCCACGACGCGACGACAGCCATGAATTCCGCGTGGGTAGACTGAAACACGAACGAGTCAGTGTACCTAGGGGAGAGAAATTATTAGACTGGGCAGAACAAGTACTGAAGGTAAGTCGATTAAAAATTACGACGCAACAGAATATTATCAAGCTTTCACGTATTTTCATTATATTTCTTTTACCATTACAGGTACATGCAAGTCGAAAGAGTATCCTGGAAGTTGAATTTGTTGACGAGGAAGGAACCGGTCTTGGACCAACGCTAGAATTTTTCGCGCTAGTCGCCGCAGAATTGCAGCGCAAAGACCTAGGCCTGTGGTTGTGCGACGACGAGGAATCGGACGACGCGGACCAAACCAGAGTCTCTGGTGACCAGGTTCGACCCGCAGGATATTACGTGACACGGCCAAGCGGATTATTCCCGGCTCCATTGCCACAAGATTCCGCCGCTTGCGATCGTGCTGTACGATACTTCTGGTTCTTGGGTGTGTTTCTGGCGAAAGTTCTGCAGGATAATAGATTAGTAGATTTACCGCTGTCCCGTCCTTTCTTAAAATTAATGTGTCGCGGCGATATCACAAACAATGTAAATGAAAAGATCGGCCTGTCCGGCGTCAGTCAAGAAAGCATGTCGTCCAGTATGTCGAGCAGTTTCATATCGGAGGAGGGTGAAGCAGACACCGCGTACTCTTCGTTGGAACCGTCTCCGTGGTACGCTGGTTTATTGGACATCGAGGACCTTGTACTTGTAGACCCAGTTAGGGGCGAATTTATCAAAGCGATCCAAACAGCTACCGCTAAACGCGACAGAACATTCTCAGACGGTCGCAGTTCGGCCGACGAGGAAACATCATTGAACATCAGTCATCCGTCTGGAATGTCTGTACCCATCGAGAATCTGGCTCTAACGATGTCCTACTCGCCAAGCTCCAAAGTTTTCGGGCACGATCAGGTGGAATTAATGGAAACAGGCGTGGATGTTCCAATCACTATGGATAATGCGAAGGAATACGCCGATTTGACGGTTAACTATTGCCTCGACCGAGGAATCGCTAGACAACTTGAGTCGTTCAAATCCGGTTTCTCGAAGGTCTTCCCGATAGAGAAACTTCACGCTTTTAGCCCTGAAGAAATAAGGGCTATGCTATGCGGCGAACAAAATCCGCAGTGGACCAGAGAAGATTTGCTCAATTATACTGAGCCGAAGCTGGGTTACACGAGAGAAAGGTATGTTGATTTTGCGATTCTACCGTTACAGGGTTATAGTTGAAGGCTTCAGAGAACGAAGATGTTATGTTACAGATATTACATTTTTCTTAAACGGACTTTTGAAAGCTTTTTTTCCAGGCAATTGCCACTGTAACATACTTCATCTCTAAGAAAACACAATTTGCAGAAAAATGTTACGTAACCTCCTTCACCATCTGGAGTCATCAGTTGTATGGATGCTTTTTGTTTAGAGAGAATTAATCTTTGACTTCATGTGTTGCAGTCCTGGATTCCAGAGATTCGTTAACGTTCTAGTTTCATTGACCGGCCCAGAGAGAAAAGCTTTCTTACAGTTCGCGACTGGATGTTCGGCTTTGCCTCCTGGTGGATTATGTAATTTGCATCCTAGATTGACTGTTGTGCGAAAAGTGGATGCTGGCTCAGGTGGTTATCCTTCCGTTAACACCTGTGTTCATTATTTAAAATTACCGGAGTATCCTACCGAAGAGATACTGAAAGAGAGACTCTTGTCCGCGACTAGGGATCTTAAAGTGTGCGAATCGAACTTTGCTTAACAAGATTGAACTGTGCAGTCTACACGCGAGAGCAAAGTCTGGCCTTGGTGTTATTCGAATAACCTAAAATAATTGTCCAATAGGAATCGGTACAGGTTTGAAAGAATTAACACACAACCTGGAACGGTAACGCGCGAATAAAATATTTAGAATTGTTTGAATGAAAAGAATAATTTCACCAGCGTATCGTAAGTATTTGAACACACGACGAAGTTATGTCGTAATTTGTAGCATTTAAATTTGTACGTTTTAAAGGGAACATCTATAAATTTAACAAGTAGTATCAAACTATGCTGTTCAACGACTCCGTTGTTTGTCTTAAAACATCTTTCAATGATCCAACTACCATTTTTAAATGCATACCATAATACTTGCTATATAATTACAATCTAATTTATACTATATCTAATAATGCAAATAAAAAAGAATAAGGATTATTATCTTATGATTTATCGAATCGTCGTAGTGTTGTCCGTTCCAGGTGTTGGTCGTGTGATACGATAACGAGTATTCTCCAATACAATAGAAATTGTATTTTCTCAAGACACGTAATTCACGCGAGTGTTTTTTCAAGTATATTTGCTGTCCTTGTGGAACAAGAACTCTTACAGTTCCTCGATATAGAACGAATGTTCGTACTGTCTTCTTTGTGAAGTATTGTTGTGCTTGGAAAGTGATTCGTATTGTAAGAAAAGAAAAAGAGGCACCCTCGATGAAAATTTCTATTTTCTTTATCAGATTGCCTCCAAACGGTAAATACCCACATGTCGTTATTGAGACGCGCGAGAGAACATTGTAAATCAAAATTGACCTGTGCAAAGTGCTAAAAGATTTTATTGGTCGCAATGGGAACGATGTCTTGTTTAGCATCCAGACCAATTTTCACAGCTTCAGATGTTTGTCCCTTTTAAACTGGATGGTCGGTGCATCACAAACGAACAGGCCGTAGGAAATATGCAAAGGCGTGAAACGTTTCGATGTAAAACGCGAGATGAAAACTTTGCAAGCTGAGCACTCTGCATCTTTGTACAATATGCTACTTAATGCTCACTCGATAATTATAATTATAGGCGGAAATCAGTATACTTGTAATAATAGCGTCTAGAAGGAAAGATACGAGAATAATATAAATGTGAAAAAAAGATTGATTATTGATATCGATATGAGGAATAGTTACTATTTACTGTAATATAAATTATTATTGATTCTTGGGGAAAAGAATAAAAGAAAAAAAAACGTTATAAAGTATAACATCTTTTTCAACGTAATTTGTTACATGTTTTATACAGTCTATGAATACAAACGTACGTAATTTAACAATTCCATTGCCCTTTAGAAAAGATCTGCGTATCGCTAGATCCCACGTAATATAAAACCTACACACACCATTAATAATGTACATCAGATTCAGCGGTGTCCCTTTTACGAAAACTTCATGGGACAACCACAGTTTATATTTTAATCATGATTTATGTGTCATGCAAAAAACAGTAACGTTAATCTTTACAATTTCGCTGAACGAGTCAAACGATCTTCGGAGTTATAGCTTCCAGTACCTAGTCACTTTTTGTGTAGTACATTGTTCGCTTCTGTACGTTCTTCTTCTAATTCGTTGGCTGTAGCGGTTAATTTGGATCTTGCAAAGTCGTTAATCGGAAGCCCCTAAAAAAAAATATTGTAAATATTCTTCCATTTTTAAAATACACTTTCAAATATCAGACATTGCAAAACCAAGTGCTTACTTGAACGATCTTGTATTGTTTGTTTTGTACAACGACTGGAAAAGAGAATACAATATCCTTTGGAATTCCATAGCTGCCGTCAGATAGGACGCCCATGCTGACCCATTCTCCTGAATTCGTACCCATCCACCAATCTCTCATGTGATCTCCAGCCGCTTTAGCGGCTGACATCGCGGATGACATTTTCCTGGCAGCTATTACCGCTGCGCCCCGTTTCTGAATTGTTTCGACAAAGCTGGTATTCAACCACTTTTCATCGTTTACAGCCGCAAGTACTGGCTTGACGCCAGATGGAAGAGCCACGGTAGCATGCGCGGCATCCGGATATTGAGTTGAACTGTGATTGCCCCAGATAATCACATTCTTCACTTTGTCAACCTGTTTGCAGACATAAACATTTAAAAAATCATATTGTACAATATAGTATGCATCAGGTGACATTAAAGCTACCTTCACGTTCAATCGTGCTGCTAAAGCTGCTTGAGCACGATTCTGGTCCAGTCTAGTCATGGCTGTGAAGTTTTCTCTTGGAATGGATGGTGCGTAATGAGAGCAAATCAGAGCATTCGTGTTGGCAGGATTTCCAACAACCAACACCTTGACATCTTTTCGGGCATATTTGTCCAAAGCTTCTCCTTGAACTTTAAAGATCTCTACATTGGCAGCTAGCAAATCTTTTCGTTCCATTCCTTCCTTTCGGGGCATTGCCCCGACCAAAAAGGCAGCAGCAACATCCTTAAAAGCTACAGCTGGGTCAGCAGTTGGTATGACATCTGCAAATGAAACATTAATGCACGTGTCTATTCAGTTTCATAGCTAGTATACTATGACGTTTAACAGAGTTTAATGGCATCTTTATTTTATGCAAATCCGGATAGGACTCTTCATGGATTCCAGTTTCTAAACATTGTTTAATAAAAATTTATCCTTCCATAAATATTCACTCTAGTGATTAGGATTCCATATACCAAAAATGTCAAACAGTTTAAACTGGTACACGTGTTACATAAACCCTTGGTTATGTAACAGGTATTCTTTGCACGTGTTATACGACTAAAGGGAGTTAGATTTCCAAATACAACTCTCATAATCTAATATATTCATTTAAAACTATCGATCAAAGATTATTCATGTCACTGCATAATGCGTGTTTCCTTATCAATCTATATATCATTTGGCTAGCAACATATTTTCACCTCCTAAAAGAGGAAGAGCCAAGTCTTGTAGTTCCATAACTACACCATCCAAAACCTTCATCATGACTGGAATATCCAGCAAATGAAGATTGACTGGCTGGTTTGGACCAAAAACTGAACCAGCAGCAAGCTGATACAGTAGGGAATAGGCAATCTGCCCTGCAGCTCCCGTAACCACAACATTAATTGGCTCAGTCTGAAAAATAAATGAATAATTTAATCCCAGAAGCATTAATTTTTAAGAATTTCAGTAACAATTTGTGAAAAATAGTTGTTCCTAATATTATGTTAATTAATGCCAGTAATTTGAGCCCTGTGCTCCGATAATTATATGGAACTACAAATTATCAGGAACACATATATTTAAAGCAAATTGCAAAAGCAAAGAGTAACAATATAATGCCTGAAAAATCAATCCTTAAAAATTCAAAGGACAATTTTCTTCTATGATAGGTATAATTGATAGAATCTGTATTCTTTCGTTCCACGATCATACTTAATTACAAACGATCAGAAATGCAGGTGGTTACAACGAATGCAACATCCAACAGTCATTAACAACTATTAGGAGAAAGTAGGAATGCTTTGAATGACATATGAAGGTCAAACGTAGGTTAAGCTGATGTTTTACCGAATAAAAAGTGCAATGCTATTATAAATATATTGTTTAATCAAGAAATAGTTAGCACAAAGCAGGAGATGCTTACCATGTTTCACCGACGTGTTCTTGTAATATGGTGTGGTTTCGAGATCACGCTGATAAAGTGATAGAACTCTCCAGAGCCAGAGGTACTAAGGTCAATCAGGCCGATTCATGTAATAACATTGACAGCCGCTTGCCTGGAAGATAGATTCGAATTCGAATATGCGCGCTGGAGGCCAAATACATTCACGGAATTACTTTATACTTTTTCCAATAAAGACGTAGTATTATTTTTATTTATTTATCATCGAATATATACACGATACAAACGATGGTTCAACTCTACAGTGATGTTAAAATACCAAAGAAAAATCGATATTTTATGACAAATAATTTGTGGTCGAGATCCTACTTCTTATTTCGCGGACACTTTTTAATTTCATACGCGTTAGATAACTGTAATTTAAACAGGGATCATTGACGAGTTTAAATGTTAGTTCTTCGTTAGTTGAGGTTTAGTCTGAATACTTTACCAGCGAAATATTGTTGCATAATATTTACGGATATCGCATAATAGTTCAAAAATTTATTTAAACATAGTGTCCAATCCAAGCGTATGGCAATATTTTAAATATTTGCAACTAGAGGGCTACAAATAGTGTCCAATTCTCGCATGTTGTCAATTGCTACATTATACATAATTTCAACTTCTAAATATATTTCTTTAGACATTTAATAAAGTAACATTTATACGTATTAAATAGAGATTCAGATGATCGTCACAAATACATGTCTTTTCCTTTGATGTGACGCCTAATGCAATAAAAAGGTGTAGCGTTATTAAATAATATTTCATTTTATATGTAATATCATAGATAAGGTATAGGAGTAGACATTTCACCTTATGGAATTATATTTATTATAAACTCTCGTACCGACACCTTAAAAAAGTCTGTGATTTTAACGACATCTATGTTATGAGAACGGTGAATTTGCGGTGTGTAATGACATTAAAATGGAAATGGGGCGATGTGACCCCAGAAAAGTATGCGGAAAAAATACATTGGATGAAATGTCTACTCCTATACCTCGTCTGTATGTACATAATACGAAATAATAAAAATGGTCGATAGGACCTATTATGCCATCTATGAGAAAATATTCAAGCAACTAGTCAATTAGTATTCAAATTTTGTCACGAGATGACAGAACGATGTCATTTACATTCGTCCATGTTAAGTACATAGAGATTCATAAAGGTTAATTTACATCACAGACGAGGGGTGTACTACGAACGTAACATTTTACAGGAGATTGTGGTGTGGATGAATATATTTACATTCGCCTTCTTGGACAACTAAGTGGAGCTAGGACCCCAGAAAATCAGCCGTTTGATGTAGCTAATACATATAGGATGGACTGGATGGACACACTTCTTGATTTAATTACATATCTCCATTATGTTAAAATTTAGAAGATATCAAAAAGTTTATTCACAAAAGTAGGTTAGTATGGAGGGTGAGCATACTACGTTACAGTAATAATTTCTTCGTAAGTAAAGATACATGAAACTATCGAAGATTACTTTAGATTCCTTCCTTTATTCTGTAAATCTTTGGATTAGAATACGAGAGTTGCTGGAACAATGAACATTGTGACAGGATATGGTATAAATGGAACTTTGACAATTTTCTAAGATTCATTTGTTCGAGTTGGCTGAAACTCATAAATATTCTAACTGCAAAAACATTGTACATTTATCTATGTACTACCTGTAGCTTTCTGATTCAAAAGGTTTCTGCGCAAAACTATCGTCTACGTCTTGTAACCTTGGGCAACAGTAGTACATACATAAGTACATGTAGTAATTGAAATAACAAATTTTCGGAGATAGCCTGGGACATGTACGCGGTTGAATTCATTCATTAGTCTGTAGAGAAAACTTTAAAGAATCTGGCTATATTTCGTTCAAATCTTTAACCGATAATTCTTGATATCTAGCTATCAAAATATTAATATCTTGCTGTTTAGTCCCAGGTTCTTAGAAACAACTAATATAACCTTCATTAATTTATTACACTTGCATTCTTTTTGCATAATCTCGATGCATAAAATAAAAATAACCTTTCCCAGATAGCACACGACGTCCCGAAGACGTCCATTTTACGGCTATTTTAGGTCTAAGGTGTCTTCAAGGCGTTATTGTATGAAAAGTGAAAATTAAACAGCCCTAATAGTTATATGATTTTCATTTAATTGTTTTAATGAAAAAGAAGCTTACACAATTTATTCATCTACATACATATGTACATAATTTCTTTGACGACAAATTTAATCTACTTTACCTCCAGCGTTACCTAACTAACTACACTTCGATACTATAGATGACGCTATCGTATAGTTTGCCATGCAAAGAGAACTGCGGCGGTCACGTTTGAAACAAAAATTGAGCTTCCCTGGTCGTTCTTTTTCCCATGCTTTTCAGTAAAGTTTACTCAGAAATTCCACGTTTCAGTTAGATGTTTTCTTTTCTATTAACAGAGAGGAAAGCAAGAAAAACTGAATGAAATTTACTCGCAGCATTCCAGTATCGCGAACTGTTGAAGTCTCATAAAAATTTACGGCCCTACGAAGTTCTCGTAAAAGAAACTTCCCTTTCGGAGAAACAACCGTTCCAGACACGTTCCGACCTACATTCTCCGCGATCAGTACAGACACCACTATCTTCATTGCGTTATTAAACTCCAAAAAACCATTTCTGTAATTGTCCAAACAATTCATTACGATCCGTTAAACCTTTTTCTTTTTATTGTTAACAGATACATAAACTTTTGCATGCATTAATCTTCATTCTACCAAAGTATCTGCCAATATTTTTGGCTTTACCTTTCGTTTCGATTTCCATAGATTGTACATCCACTTGTATAGGTATTACTGTCACAGAGTGATGACCACATTATCTATACATTCACATAATTATACACAAAATTATACAAGGTATCCGACTTATATCGACCCACTCGAGAACGTACGTTTCCTGTTATTCCATTCGTTCGTCCAAAGTAAATGGTACATATTATTCTTCTGAAAAACGGCGAAACAAAAATCGGTATTTTTCGATAGACTTGGGTGATGGTAGTGTAACAAAAGCGGAAGTCGAGGTGAAAAACGGCAACGTATTCTAGCTACAGAAAAAACATCGAACCGCCGTTGGTGGTAATGTTTGAATGTTTTGTAAGCACGCGTAACAGCCAGTCGGTCGCGTATTCACAGAAAACGGGCACACATTAAGTGGCAACAGTTTGCTTTGATCTCATTAATCATGACACGCGCGACTTTTCCGCAGGCACGTCGCGCGCCGCAGAACGATCTAAATATCGCGGCCACTTCTGCCTTGGTAAGCGACGATCGATCCGCGTCCTCTTCGTTTTCCATGTTGTACATTTCCTTCCTGCGAACCGTATTAGGTGTACGTACAAATTAATTTGTGGCCCCCATTATTAATTATTAACTCATAACCGCCATCATTTTTTCGAGGATGAATTCGCCAACCGACCGAGAAATGGCGTAAATGTGTTGAAAGTAATGGAAATATATTGAAGAATAGACTGTATCTTGATCTTTTGCAAAAAAAAGATAACAAATCTATGAGTAGAGTACCATTAATTAATTCGTATATGTAAGAAATATACACAATATTATATTAATTAATATTTTGACTCTAAGGCGCCTTTAAGCCGTCTTCGAGGCGTCATGTGTTATCTATTGGAGTATTATTCCAATAAAATTTCTGACCAATTCTGTCTTCGACCATGGTCGACTCGATACAGAGGAGACCAATAACCGAATTCCGAACTTGCTTCACCTCATGGTGCAACGGAGACCTACGCATAATCTTAACGTTCAACTTTTCTGCAACGATTTCTCCACGATACACGCGTATGTCCTTCCTTTGTGAATTCCCCGTGGAACTGACCAGAGGAACACCGTTACGTAAGCGCGCGCGCGCGACACTTCGAGCAAACTCAGTGAAAAGAAAAGACGAATATTAATCACCTTGTTGGGAAAGACGTGTGTTCGTATATTATATGTATGCCTCCGTCAAAGGAAACGTTGACGACAAGTTTTTTTTTCCGTAGGTTACATCAGTGTCGAGATAAACGCGTGAAGAAGATTGACTTTCTGAAAGGTTTATCGGCGCCGGAAATGATAAATGAACGTGGACGATGGAACGGGCGAAAAATCTCTCCTTTGGCCCCTTTTTCTTAGATCCGCGAATTTTCATCGATGCTCGGAGAAAACTGCACGCGTTTCCACCTACAAACCACCACACCATTGGGTGGTGAAAGGTATTCCTCGGTCGGAATTTAATACTCTTCTCAATGATCCTTTATTTTTGGAGGGTGATCTTTCTGGACTTTACGGGCCACGTCGCCCACTATTGTTCTTAATTTGTTTTTCATAAAATCAAGAAGCAATAGTCATTTCGGGATTATTTGAAATATTTTTTTTTATGAACAATGCGTTTATTCGCGATAAATAGTGGCACTAGTACTTACAGTAACAACGTTTTCCTAATTTTTGGACGTCGTTTACCTCTTTGCGGTCCAAAGTATTTTAGGATTTTCTAACTTCGTAATTCAATAATTCAATTGAATAATGTATTTATAACATTTGAGAAGCATTAAGATAACATTTGTGAATATTGCAGTTGTAAAACTGTAAGCAAATATATCGAATGTCAATAAAATATGAAGCTATGGCTGTAATATTGGCCGTCGAGTGGACGTCGACATAGGACTCGTAATGGATTAAAAAAGTTTTGTACTGCCGATCGTTAAGAAATATTCTAAAAATTGTCGTTAAAGTGATAAGTTGGCATCCTTTTTTCAAAAATGCGAGCCCAAAATTTAACTGACTTTTATGTTTGTAAATCAATGATCTTATCTCTGGACCCTGAATTTGATATATTTGTCGTAAATGTGAATAAGCAAAACACAATACAATACAAATTTTCGGAACGGTTAATATAAATTTTACTTTATTTCGAACCTAACGAAACCTTCAACGAAGGAAGCAAACTCTGAAATAATTTTAATTCAGCATATTAATCTATAAAAATCCGAATTTGCATACAATTCCCAGTCTGCTTATTTGTTCTCAGAGCTATATACATTTTTAAGGACAAAATATTAGTTTTTATCACAGTCAGGTGGCTGTTTTAAGATACCCGCGGGGCAAGCTCAGAATTTTTCCATCGATCGACGATATAAAATCCCGCGGAACGTGTCCACCCGTCGTCGTTTCCTCTACTCGTTTGTCCATCGGTGGACAAAAAGCTCGGTCGTCGGTGATTCAATGGAAATATCCGATCTGATTGACTTTCAACGCAGACGGGAA